AAATCTAGAGCGCGATTTAATTCGTAGGCGGATTTTAGTTTTTAAACCTATATCTTGTTTCCTTTCTACAAATTATCTAGTTTTACTTAGTAGATACTGAATTGAATGAATATACATCACCAAATTTAATATAATATAAATACCAAAACACTAGAAAGAGCGAAAAGTAATTTACAAAATATTTTTCCTAAGCTTATATTTTACCTTCTTCAAAATATGTTCACCAAACCCGACGCGATCGTCAACATTTTTACGAATTTATTTTTCAGTCTTGTTCGGAAATTGCATGGGACAAATTGCGGCTAACTTTGAAGCTCGACATTTCGAGAACTCAGCGTTTATATGAAAGCTCTACTTAATTTTTAAAGAACTTTGTAACGATTCCTCCCACACCGAGGCACGTGAAAAAGCTAATTATCCATATTTCTATTTACCAAGAAGTAAGTTTATTACATACGAGTGTATGTAGTCTGTACATATTATATCTATACATATAATAAAATCCAGAGTCGAATTTTTGGAAAATCTTATTGAAATAGTTATTATTATCGGTAGAGAAGCCGAATCTATAGTTTTTAGAATTTTTGTCTGTCTGTTTGTTACTGCATCACGGGAAATCTACTGGAGGGATTTTGATGAAATTTGGTATGACGATAGCTGGTTATCCGGGTCAACATAAGGTATACTTTATACTGCGGGAAAATATCTTATCTCAAAGAAATCTATACTAAACGTTAAAACGTCACTAGGGACGAACCCAAGCGGAGCGAAGGTGGGTCTCTAGTTTAATAAATAAAATACTATATTATTTACTTTCACAATGCTAGAATCTGTACTAATTTTAAAGTATGACAAAAAATATCTCAATAGCTTAGCGATGCAACAACAGAGAACAAGAACTCCAATTAAATTAGCCTTTAAAACTAACAATAGAATATTTTATATAATCCAAGAACATTTCGAGTTTCCTGAAATGCATGTAATTTTGTATGTAAACAAATCGAGTGACTTGATTTTTACCTTTGTCATTTTAAATTTCGTCAAGTTACTTTACAGATGTAGGTATAGGTAAGTAAGTACTAGTATTAAAGTGCTTAACAATACAATAAAATAATAATGAATTTCCATACCTTATTAAAAAGTGGAGCTTGGTTAGAGGTTTTTTTTTCAACAGCTACTAGTAAAGTATGGATCCTGTTTCTTTCTGCTGCTACATGTTTCGTTCTTGCTGCAAGATGTACGTATGTATATATCGTAATATGAATAATACTATATTCCGTTTTTATGTTAGGATACTTATGAATATATTTTCGCACACCACCTGTGTACAAACAGACTCACCGGCTAGAAAAACCAGTACTACCCACCAAAACTCAAGTAAATCTCCCCCTTAATTAATAGACTAAATAATACTAATAGACTAAATAATATAACATAGTGAGCACATGGGTACATATCTACATACCTAAAATATATCACAGCCTCAGGTTAAATTACTTCGATTCTGGGCTCTGGCATGAAACCAAATTGTATGTTATCTACGAAATGTAGTAAAAAGAAAGCCAAAAATTCTTTGTAAAATAAAACGTCATCATGGACAAAGCGCTCATTAGGTACCTACTGTTGATAAATATTACTTTACACTCTTTCTACTTTCAAAATATAATTGGGCAGTACCAGTGGCGTAGCTAGCCTTATTTGGACCCAATGGAAAAAAATGGAAGGTTGCCTATTGTGAAAACAAACGTGGTCCATAAACAGAGACAGTTTTAGAACTTCTCACTTTTTTCAAATCGCTCTCACGGAATCGGTACGGTACAGTTTTATACGGTACAAATTTAGTAAGAAAACTGAGCTTAGAGGACTATTCATCGTTTTATAGAACACTAGCGACTCACCCCCGCTTCGCTCAGGTTCGCCTCTAAAAACCCTAATAGATATCTATTAGTTCCCACGGGAACCGTTCATTTTTCCGGGATGAAAAGTAACCTGTTGTTTGACCGGCAATATAAGGTATTAGAATGTTAAATTTTACTAAATTAGGTGCATAAGTTGTTGTGTACTAAGCTGTATAAGTTATTGTAGTTTTTTAACTATCCCACGGGAACTATTTAGTTTTCCGGGATCAAAAGTATGTAAGTTGTTGCCCGGGGATATAAAGTACCACCATGCAAAATTTCATTTAAATCGGTCCAATAGATTCGGAGATTAGCCCGTACAAACAGACAAACAGACAAAAATTGAAAAAATCTGGATTTGTTCTATTTGTCTTCTTACATCCCCCTGACTCGGTTTTTAGCATTTTTTTGCTATGTACAGATATTCGACCTCTACTGTTTTATTATAGTATGGATATGTACGACCACATTCCTTGTGGTCCTCGTAACATATAATATGCGGAAATTTAGGACATTTATTCCTTGCGTTTTTTTTTTTTAATTTCTATGAGAGCCGTCCTCGAAAAAATGGTTTTAAATAAAAGAATCGTTTGTGGCCCGCTGGGGCCCCCTTATCAGGGGCCCCACGCGCTTTGGTTGGTTGCATTGGCATAGCTACGCCACTGAGCAGTACTGAATTACGCAAGAAAAAATATTTTGATTAAATAAAATCTTTAAAATAATAAGACATTGTTCATTGTGTTCATACTATTTCAATGTTTTGCAAGTCTATTATCAAAAAATATATTAGAACGTCACAACCTAGAACGCCTGAAAAATAAGGAATAATCAAACAAATGTTATTAAAGAAGCATCTTTTATTTGTAACATAATTTATAATAAAATCTTGTAAAATTTCGAATAAAATATTCAACAATATTAACGTAAATATAAAATTATCTACTAAATATATATTAATTTCTATATTTCACTTTATCTTAATTACTAAATATTTTTAAATAATTTATTGTTTTCACTAATGGCTTTCAAACACATTGACGTGTAACTTACAAAATAAATATATGAAAATTATGAGTGAATAACTGGACAATTCGCCTTAATTATATCCCTCAATATTGCGGTCATAAAAAATAAGGCCGCACCTTTGTCAAAGTTGATTTGGAGATATTTGAACTTTTGTCTACTACTGCGTCAAAATTACTACTAGTTTTGACATAGTGACGATGAAAACGGTCATGGTATCTCCGGATTTATAAGACTTTAGAGGTTTATGAGTAAGACTATCGAGTAGCATTTTTTTTGCTGATGCCGAATTTGCATTTAAGTCATTTTTGACCAAACTGTTAGTTAATGCCTTCTTTATCATAATAAATATAGTATATTTTGTCAAGTTAAACACGCTTAACATTTCTAAAACACACGTGGTAACAGCGTACAAGGTAAACATATCATCTCAATTAGCTTCTTAGAATCGATTTACAAATAGAATAAAAATGTAATAGGCACTATGTCCAAGCACTGAATCAATAAATTCAAAGCTTTAGTCAATGTAGAACCAAACACATACATACAAACATACGGAATCATATACATTATAAGGTCTAAAATGTCCCCAAAATTGGTTCCCATGTTATAATTTAAATTAATTCTCCGAAAGAGTTCACTTGAATCTCAGATCTAAAGTAAGTAATGAAGAAAAAACGGTTTAGAGGGCCTAAAATCGAAGGATTCTAATTTGTTTATCGGAGGAATAAAAATAACAATGAGACAGAGAAAAAAATTCGGGTGTTTAAATATAAACAAAAGATAATATTTAGGAATTATAAATAGCCAATCATTTTCCATTAATTATTCAATGAATAAATCATTTACTAAAAGAAACTATTCCTGCTCTCCATCCTTACATTCTTTATGCAACTTGCTATCTTCACACACAATCCAGTTAGGTTCATTTACCCTTCTAGGGTAAATAGGTATTTACCCTAGAAGGGTAAATGAACCTAAATACACCTGTATATGGTAACACTTCTCTCTCTTTACAATTAAAAGTAACCTACAATAACTTGGTAACGATAAAACAATTTATAAATTTAAACTTAATTAAAATTTTGGCACAAATTACCAAAATTGTAATATATAATGTATCATATAAAATATCATCACTATGTTCATTTTTCGAAATTTATTGTCTATTAAATACTGTTCATAACAACAAGGGCGATAACAAATAAAAAGTATATATTTTTATATTTTAATCGCTCTTCATTTAATAATAATATTAATAATATATAATCTGTATGTTAATAGTTAATACTGAGATTTTTTTCTTGTACTCTTCGAATCTCGAAAGGTATTTACTTAATTGACGTATTTCAATGCACAGACTGAATCTTTTTATTATGGATATTCATCTATTTTCGACCATCTTATTCTATTTATTAATAAATAAATCCAAAATATTCGAATAATATCTGTCAAGTAATGTTACCTAGACTTATTTTGCATTATTTGTTTTTATATATGCATGTCACATTATTTTTTTATATAAAGAAAATTTAATTATTTCGTAGCTGCTTGTTCAAGGTACAATAAAATAGTTCGTGAATAAATTATAAAACATTTGTTTTCGACCTATTTTATCTGTCCCACAATATTCTACAATTTTTACCATTGCAAAGGTTAATTTTGGCAACATTACCTAGTCTTATAAATATATCCTCTCATCTGTTCAATATATTGTATAATATCTAAGTAATAAAATATATTTTTTTGTCGCTACTAATATAGTAGACTAAAGTTTCTTATAATTTTTCATCTTACATTTAAGTTAAAATATGGAGCACCACTTTAATACCTAATTATAGCTCCCAATTAACTCAATAACCAAGCACTCAATTAATCACTCATAACATCTATTTTGGAGAGATCTCATTGCAACCATCAAAATGTTGTATATATATAGTTGCTGTTAAAATACCCTAATATCAAATATTATATTTATTTCATAGAATAATTTATTTTGTTTACTAATAGTTTGGTGATAAATTTTGTATAAAAAAATTTCAAGGCACAAAATGTAAATCTAAGGCACTTAATGTACTAGTTGCGTTGGCCGTGGCTGGTCCACATATGCTCTTTGAAGGTTTCCCTCATAGTGAACGACCTTGGGCAGAGATAGCAACAGAGCCTATTAGTTAGATCTGAGTGCATTAATCTTACGTGATATTTGAGAGCTGACTGGTTTGAATATTTCATACCACAATGCGGACAGTCCCCACATATAGCTGCATGGTTTGACTGGTGACTGACATTTTGTGAGGTTGACGCCCCGCTAGCCAATACTGGAGCTGTTGACATTCCCGCTAACAACAGTAATGCTTGAGATTGCTCTTGACTGTACTCAGAATCAGCGCCATCTTGCTGCTCTGACAACAGTACTTCTGGTTCATAGTCCATGTCAGATTTTGGTGAAGGTTTCTCTGATTTCACTAATGACTCCTCGTTTGTTTTCACTGGACTCTTAGTTAGGGTTTGAAAATTCATAGAATCCATACTGGATTCCTTTTGACGAATGACACTTTGCATATCGGGTATATTTGAAACTTTTTTTATGGTGTTGGCACATACATCACTCTTTGAAGGGTTGATTCCTAAAATCACAAAGGTTATGGTTAATATTTATTTTTTCATTGCAGTAAAAAAAAATTATTGACTTTTTAGAACAAAATCGATGCACTTGTTATTAAAATGAATTGTACTCTATTTCACAGAAATATACGCATAGATCTTGAAAAGTGATAGCTGCCGTTCCACACTTGGCCGCAACCTCATAGCAGCCAGGTGTAAGCAGGTTATATTTTGTTACATTTATACGTTCATGGGTCCGGGTCAACATATAGGATACTTTTTACTGCGGGAAAATATCATTTCTGAGAAACCTAAACGTGAAAACGGAAGTAAGGAGAAACCAGAGCGGAGCGAGGGTGAGTCGCTAGTTTGATATATAAATGATGAATATACGCCATGAACGTATAAATGAAACAAAAATATATTTAATGACTGGCAGCCCCCTTTGCGGCCACTTTTATATAAGCAGACGTAGTTTATCAGGTACAGAAAAAAATAGCTTTAATTTGATATATATAAATAATGAATATTCGCCATGAACAGTAACATTTGAGTTTTGTAGCTGATCAAATATATTAAAAACTAGCGGAATTAACCTTCGTTCTCTCAGATTCATCCCTAGATGATTCTTTAAGTTGAGATAACTTTTGTATTTATGAACCGATTAAAATAAAACAAATATTAAATGTTAAGTGAAGCTGTGATAAGCTTAAATACGTTAGCGAAAACCACACCCAAATCGGTTAAGCTGTTTCTGAGATTAGCGCCTACTAATGCACAGACAAACAGATAAAAATTCTAAATATCATTGTTTTGGGTTCTATTGCGTTAATACAACCCTCAAAAGTTTTTCTCAAATATCTTCTGTGTACAGACAGCTATCAGTTACAGTTTTATTATATTATGTAATAGATTAAATTTAAATAGGTATACATATTTAACCTTGTGACAATATTATAATATGATAAGATTGAAATGGACTCTTCATACACTATGAATATTTCTGTACAATGTCGACTTTAGATTTACTGTCGATAAACACTAAATAACTTTAACTTACCTGAGATTAAAGATCTGGCAAGCATACTATTCTCATAATCTGGAAGACTATCATCATTTTCAGAATTTATTGATTGATTGTGTACGGGTGAAATACTATCTTCCCATTCTGTTTTAATTGTAACTGGAATGTCCTCTTGCATATTAACCTATAAGAAGATTTTGAATTGAACACTTCTAGCCATAGAGCATGATTGGCGTTTATATATTTGTCTGCAATCCTAAGGCATATAAACCCTAATTAAGTTGTGAAAATTTTATGATAGACAGATTTAATATTTATTTTCTACTAGTGACTTACTTGCTTCACTCGGGAGTATCTCTTTTATTTTTTGAGCAGAACCCTAATTCTTTTTCTAAAAAAAAAGTAGCCTAAATTACTCCTTATAACATCAGCTATGTGCCAGTGAAACTCCCCTCAAAATCAGTCCAGCCGTTTCAGAGAACAGCCAGAACAGACAGACAGACAAAAATTTAAAAAAATGTGTTTTTCTTAAAGTTCCATATATAATTCCACATGCATTTAGTAAAAATCTGATATTTTTTAATTGCAAACAAATACTTCAATTTTATTTATCTGTGCGGCTGATAACATAAAGTTGTATTAAAAATTAATGCACTCTTTATGGAGATATGATACAGGAAACAAAATACACAAATTGTGTAGACTCCTGTCAATTGCCCTACACCAAAATAGTCATAGCTCAGCTACATAAATGTAAACTAACCTGACTTGTATTCTTCCCATTAGCAGTCACAATCTGGTCAGTTTTACTTTCATTTTTCTTTTCTATATTATTTTCTGGTAAATATAAAGAGTTATCAGCTTTTACTTGGGATCCATTATTTTTGCAGTACATCTCACTAGTCTCCACAATTTTACTTTTCTTATGACTATCACCAAGAGGTGTTTCATTGGGCTTATCGGAAGTGCTGCTTCTTCTTTTCTTCAGAGCTGGCATTTTAGCCTCTTTGTGTGAAACACTAAACTGTGGTTTAGAAGATATAGTTAACTGAGTATATAGTTTATTTGTTGCACTGGTTGAAAAAAAATTTTCACTCTAAAATGTAACAAATTATTTTTAGTTCAGAATTCAATGATAATAATAATAATATTATATAATAATTAATAATATTACTATTTATTCTATAAGAACAATTTTACCTGTTGAGTTACACCTGTCAAGCCCTTGACTTGAAGTAAAGCAGCGGTGTGCAAAAAAGATGACAATTTGCTTTCCTCAATGAAAACTTCTCCTTGATACATATAAGATAACAAACTGAGAATATCATCTGCTGATACATCTTTTAAAATTATCACTGGATGTTGGCATGGATTTTCCTAAAATAAGTTTTTCTCACATTAATTATATTAATGGCTAAGATTTAGATTACGTACGCATGTGGAAGCGGTTTATAAGTTTCACTTAAAAATTTGGTAATATCTTCCAGACACTGTTGTTAGTTTAATCGTGAAGGTTATAATGCCCCAAGTCATTCACCTTGAACACATTCCTAAAGTACGGGCTGCATGCTGACAGTATTACTTTATGGGCCTTGATGTTTCTGCCTTCACAAGTCAATGTAACATCGACCAGATCTTCAGAACACTTTAGTGAATCCAATGCACTCACTATATTTGTTTGGAAGTTATTCCAACGTAAACAAAACTGGTCTGCCATTACTATGTTTTCGTTAGATAAATCTGAAAAACAAATTTACAATCACTAATTTTTAGTTTCAATTGCAGAAAATACACAATAATAACAATTACTTTTACTTCTACGTACCAGTTCACACATAACTATACAAAACATGTATATTTTCAATATCTACTCTCACAATTTTTTCTAACAGATTTGTTTAACAAGACTATTTCGTACGAATAAAAATAAAGTGCATGACCTCCAATGACACAGTCTTCTTTCACTTTTTATACTATAGACAATTTAAATGTTTTAAATGCAACTTGCATGCATGCACTTTTGCAAAGACTCGGATACTCGATGACAGTAATTATTTCTTAAATGGTAAAAGACCTCTTTAACAAGATATTATGACTCTAATTACTCTACAATTTTAATATATTATAATACATATATATAAAGTAAATAATAACGCAAAAAATATTGCTATCGATTTTTGATATATATCTAGAAAGTTCAAATCGAATCGGTAATAATCTTGTGCAGGGACATCATTACCTAATTATTGCCATTCATATAATTTCCCTTGTTTATCGGGAAATTATTTATTTGGGATCAATTATAGGTATAGTGTTATGTGATCTTTCATCATAGTTATAATTGTAAAATAGTATAATATACATAGTTTTTAGAATAAAAGGCTCAATGGTAAGGGAAGCAAGAGAAAAGTTATCAGTACATCAATAATTTAATTTAAGTACCTATATATTTAACCCCTAAAAAATTGCCTAAGTATAGTCATCGGATAATGGGTAGGTACTATGGCACATGACATATGGGATACGGGATATGTGAAAACTAAATAGGGGTTATAAAATAGAGTCCTGATGGTCTAAATAACTAGGCTATTGAATGAGACTACCAGACGTTCGTCTTCTCAACAGACATCATATTGAATATTTGGCTGACAGTGACTCTCATTCTACAGGATGGTCCCGAAAATCCATTTTTATGAAATTTTTTTATGAAACTTTAATTTTAAATATTATTTTCAAATCAATGACAGTTGTGGTTGCGGAAATTATTGAATTTATATCTGGCAATATCAGTATTGTCTTAGCCGGTTGATTCGCTAATCTCTTTGTTGGTGTTTTCAGTTTTCTAATTTGTGTCATAAAAACGTGCGTGCAGAAAAAGTATTGAAATTCAATATTCTATAGAAAAAAAATCCACGTTAGATTCAGTGAGGTAAAAAGCTAATTGTGAAAATGAGTAACGACCCTGAAAGGTTTGATTCCATGCTTCTAGCAATGGCACAACAACATGAAGGTGGTGTTAAAGATGTAAGTCATTCTTCTTAAAACTTACTTTATTTTAAAAAGAGTCATATAAATTACATACATTTTAAATATTCAACAATATTTAATCATTACTAATTACTTTCTTTTTTCCTTTAAAAGTGAAATATGTACTTTTATTTTTTCAGTTACTAGCCACTATTGTAAGCTTCTTAGCAAGAAAGACTGATTTCTTTACTGGAGGAAAAGAAGGAGAGTGGGAAAAGGTATAATATATTTATATATAATGACAAACTTATTTCGTTAAAATATAATAAAACTTGGTAATGTTTCTTTAAATATATGGTAAAAGTAAAAATGATAAAATTAAAATCCATTCATCAAATCTATTTGTAAGCAGATAATAAGTTAGTAAGTTAAAACATGTAAATAATAATTTATCTATGTAACTGACTAAAATGTTATTGAATACAATGGTATCATTGAGATGTTACATATCTATTAGTTTCAATTAACATTTTCAGGTTATTAAAGACACATTTTATGCACATGCAAAAAAAGCATGGGAAGAAGCTGATAAAGTAAAGAAAGAGAAAGACGAAGCTGAGAAAAGGCTAAGAGATATTCAACAAAAAAAAGAGCAAGAACGTCTGGCTAAAGACTTTGAACCTGCCACTGTCAAAGAACTTACAGATGAAGAGGCTGCTAAAATGCAAGACGATATAGATAAAGATAAACAACAAAGTATGTATTATTAATATTTAAATTTAGTTTAAAAATCTAAATCAGAAGAAATCAGACTTGTGAGTCTCAGCTTAATTAATACAGAGTGATAAAATATATTCATTAAGTATTTAAATCTGCAGAGCAAGTCTGCCACTCACTTTGTTAGACTTTATTACTTGTTGTTTTACTGAATAGTATAACAATCCCACCAAGTTTAATCCAAAAGTGAAAAATAAAATAAATATAGAACAAAACACATTCATAAAAATCAATATCCCCTATGCAAATCAATTGTAAATTCATTTAACGATTACACTGGCACGCGTGAAGCACTTAATCAAGTAATCATATGCCAAAATGCCTTACATCATTTTGGAAAAGAGCTGACACTCTTACACTATTGGACCGATATTAACGAAACAGCTAAGAACCACCACAAGGCTTTCAAAGGAAAAAACCTCATCCAAATCAGTCCACCCACTTGAAAGCTACGATGCCACAGTTACACACACACACAGACAGATAGACATCGACGTCAAACTTATAACACCCCTCTTTTTATGTCGGGGGTTAAAAAGAACTTAAAAACATTAGTCTTAATTAATTCAGTTGAGCATATTTTTTCTTTTGCAAATCTAAATTAAAAACGAATTTATTTGCATTGAAAGGCCTGCTCAAAAGTAAGCTACCTAAAGGCCAACTAGAACTACAATGTGATTAGTTATTTTTAATTTAGTATAATATATTAATTATTAGGTACAAAAATATATTATTATGTTATGTTAACTACTTCATGATTTTAACTTTTATTAAACTAGGTTAAGTTTTTTTATAATTTATCACATGTGATTGGCAACCAACAAAGCTGTTTAAATCACACTTAGATCTGAAAATACAAACATTGCTAATAAAAGATCTAAATCTTTTGCTCGGTCGCCCAGCTAGTATCTGGAATTCAGGAATATATTAAATAGTTTAATATTAACAACTTTTCATTTTACATCTGTCTTATTTAGAGAGTGAAGAAGGAAGTGGTGATGCAAATGGTGATGCCGAGATGGCCGAAGAAGATGATGACCCCAAAGAGAAAGGAAAATTGAAACCAAATTCTGGTAATGGCTGCGATTTAGAAAATTATAGATGGACTCAAACTTTGGAAGAGGTGGAGGTGAGTACTGAGACTGAAATTATTAGAAAATGACTATTTGTTTTCAGGTATTAATGCATTAATTTTTTTGTGTTTACACCTAATTTCAACATCTTAATAAGGTCATCACAATGAAAAGTCTTATAGTGTAAACAGTAGGTTCGAAGAGGCCTATGCCAACAGGCATACCGAAGTCGGAGACATTCTATAAAGCTATGTGTTTGTATTTTATTAAGTTAGTATTAAGTTAGTTTTTACATAAATATGTTAAGTCCGTTTTTGGAGTAAAGGGATAATTATTATTTTATTATAAGAAGTAGTGATAAACATATACATAGTTGTTTGGGCATATACTAGATATCTGGAGGGATGATGAATTATCTGGTGGCCGGGGATATTCAACTTGTTATCACATTGTATGTTGCGACAAGTGCATATGTTATTAGAAGAATTTAGCCGTTTTAGATGTCATTGGGACTTAGTGATTGGTGAAAGTTAATTGTTTCCTTGTTTGGTTGAAGGTTAACTCTAAGCATACACACAATATTTTGACCATAACAGAGTATGCCAGAGTGTACCTTTCAGCACCTTGCTGCCTTTACATGACAATTTTGTATTATTTATCTCACGGATACATTTTCTTGCAGTTTATTAAACATAAAAATCATATATGTAACAAAAGTAAGGAGGGGGAGTAAGAGCATTGCTTACTTTTGCTGTCAAGGGGGTTGGAAGGGGTAAATAAAATACTGAAATTCTGCTTACGTAATACTTGAATGGTCCATTTTATATATTTTTTTATTTAATACGACATTATTTTTTAAAAGAGCTTCGTAATTGATAGTTATGGAAATCTAAAAATATTATTTTCATTCTTAAATAACAATATATATATATATATTTATGGTGCGGACATTTTTCAATTCAGTATCACCGACGTTAGACGTGCACGACGTTTCCGACGTATTTTCTGCGCTGGCGATACGAAAATAGATAAAAGTAAATCAAAGTAGAGTTTTTATGTTAATAAATTGTCACTTAAATTAGAGAAGTTGACTCTGTGCCTCGTTGAACACGTTCCTCCTTCCTTCGCCTTAACTCTCACCGGTCGTGTCGAAGTATTGTCCCAATAGACTTTGAAGTGTAAAGAAAGATGTCACTTGTGTCTGTGCATATAATTTAGCAGTATAAGGGGGCATCCATTAATTACGTGAGACAATTTTGGCGATTTTTCGATCCCTTGGTAAGATTTCGTGAGACTTTGCTGGTCCCCCTCCCCTAATCGTGAGATTTTTTAAAATATGGAGAAAATAAAATTAATAACAAAACAATGGTTGTAATAAGTTATACAGATTTTTTTCAGTGAAAATTATTAGTGCATCGTATGTTTATTATAAAAGGTTATGGCATTATTTTTTTATGAATGATCTTCTCATCACACCGTATATGAAAAAGAAATATTCACTCTAAAGTAATTGATCTACAATTAATAAATATTTATTAATGTTTAACGAATATTTATTGAATGTTAAGAAACATTTGTTCATATTTAATAATTGATATACTTATACTAATATTATAAAGAGGTAAAGTTTGTGATTTTGTGACGTTGTAGGGGGTAATCTCGGGATCTACTGAACCGTTTTGAACGAAATTTGGTAAGAAGATAGTTTAAGACCCTGGGAAGGACATAGGATACTTTTTATCCCAGAAATCATCCCTTAAGAGTGTGAAGATGGGGATGAAAGTTTGTATGCGGAATCAAGCAAGTAATTGAATAAATTGTTTCCAAAAAAATGAATTTATTAATAGTTAATAAATTCTTCTATCAGTGCATAATTAAACCGCAATGTATATTATTATATATATGATTTAGCCATATTTTAGTTGAGAAAATTTTTTTACTTAAATTAATCCAGTTTTCTCGCAATTTTACACTGTTTCTTTCTTCAAAAAAATTACGTGATATTTGCCGAAACCATCCCCTCCCCACGTGAGATTGAGTGAGGTTTTGCTGGACTTGCTAGCTTCACGTAATTAATGGATGCCCCCTAATATCTTCTGCGTAGTTGACTAGACTAAGCGAGATTGGCCGCCGTAGTCGTAATCGGTCAGAAGGACATTATATTACGTTACTTCTTTATATTATATAAATATATGCTACTATAATTTAAAATTTCACAAGGTACAATGAATTCGTCACGCGCTGATTAATTATTATTCAATTGTATATTACCACCATCTTTGAGCTTATAATATTATTTTGTCATTTATTTCTGTTAAACAAGTACTATTTGTATATGAAAACAAAAACAAACCTATCCTACGGGAACCGTACATTTTTCCGGGATAAGAAGTAGCCTATTAGTTATTCTAGACTATAATCGATCTCTGTGCCAAAAATCCAGATCCGTTAATCTGTTTCGGCGTGAAAGAGTAACAAACATCCATACATAATTACAAACTTTCACATTTATAATAATTAATAATACGGATTGCATCCAAAAACAAATTAGTAAATGGAAGAAATGTAAAAGGAGACGAAAGGTAGGTATGGGTAGGTATTTAATGTTTAATCGCTGTACATTCTAAGAAATGTAAACAATGTTTAACCTTGTTTTTTATAATATAGATATTATAGACACATTTTTTTTTTCAAAAAAAAGCAAAACTTTTTTACGGTGTTTAATTATCACAGTTTTCCATAATTACGCCATACGGTATATATATAGAACAAAATATGTATTGTGTAATATGTTATTAGGTACAATATAATTAAAAATTACAAAAATCACCTTATTACAACATAGTGCATAGTATTATAAAATAATAATTTAATCATATTTTATTAATGAGATAAGTAAATACATACGTTTGTTCAAACAAAAAAATATATATTCACTGGATTAAAACAATAATATTATTATTTTTCACTAGGGAATTTTTATATTGAACTAATTGGAATTTTTTTTTACACATCTTATGTCATTATATTAAAATTTTATATTTAAACACTATTAAGTAATAATAAATATTGTGTATTTAAAATTAACATTACTTTTGCCTACAATTATCCTATGTTGATATGATAAACAATTATTGCACTAAAAATTAGTTAGCAGATTTTTAGAATATCTGCAGTGTTATTTAAATTAATATTATCTAAAAAAATATACTATGACACGGAATCAACGGCTTTGTGTTTTTATTAAATTAGAAATGCCACGAAAAATTCACATAGCTAATAAATTTTCTTATATTATTTTAATAAATATAATTAGCTAAAAACTTCCCACTGTACAATTACTAATAGTCATCATTGAAGCCCTAATTTCGTATCCATTGTGTCAGCCTTTCTGTAGTTTCGAAAATCCAACACTCTAAAATCTATATAGTTGGTAAAATATACCTTATAAATATACCTATCCAGTATACACTTTCATTCTGTGATTTTCTTCCATCTTTTTCCAACTTTATAATGTTTCTTGGTCTCGCTTTGGATCATTTTTTCGTTTAATTTATTTTCAACGACTTCTTTATTATAGAGGAAGTCGATTTATTCTTGATGCGTTTATTGAATTTGAAATTTGTTTTCTTTATTATATTCGATCTTCTTAAGAGTACTTGTACATGCCAGTCTCCCTGCGCATCCGCACTGTAATAAAAATAAATTAAAATACATACACTTACTTATAAAGATATGCAATTTGCAAAAAGCTGTTCGAATAAAACGCATATGAATTGAATTGATTTATAAACAAATTATATGAATTTTTATTATAAAAAAGTATTTAATCAGTTTGCGTTATCAAACCTACATCACCAGAAAATCTATTTATGAACTTTTCTGTCTCTAATTGTATATATTGTTCATGTGGAATTTATAAAAAGTATTTTTTTAAATTTAATAGTGATTATTCGGTTTTGTTTAATCGTTATATTATAATTTATTTTACATTGCACACCATTATTTATTATTAATAAAATAATTAAAGTAAATTTATTATACGAACTTTCAACAAAGCATATAGCCGCTAGAATGCAGGCTGAGAACAAAATTGTCATCGATATAACAAGAACTGTAATTTGGTGCGAATGATTGCAGCAGCACGACTTCGGTTCTTTGCTGGGGCGATGCTTCGTAAATCCATTTACCACCGTAAAATGGGTTGAGCTGGCTACAGATGCGGCATCAGGTCCTGCGTTAGATCCCCGCTTCACATCAGACCAAAATGTGTCTGTTGGGTCTCGAGACTCCTCAGGAATCGATACCACCGCATTGGCCATTGTAGGTTTTTTTTCTATGCCCATATATCGTGATTGAGTTTGGGAAATGCCACACTCTTGTAAAGAATTCTTGCCGTTCATTCTCGATAAATGCGCTGCACTTAACAATTGTGAACCTGAAGATACACTCTGGAAACATAAATATTTGGTTAGATAAAGATAATAATAAAGTACGCTCTAATTAATAATTAATATACAATGGTTTCCCATAATGTTTGTGGCGTAATTTTTACTATGTTAAATTAAATGCCTACAATGTACACCAATGTGTGTATGTGTGAAGGTGTAATACTGAGTACAAAAAGTGGGGATTACCGGCTTTACCTGAATTCGTCACTCACATTTCGGTGATCTATCTACATATGATGGTTTTTGTCGGAATCCGGTTAGACTCATTAAAAATATAATAGTAAAGGCTGGGATATTAATGGCTAAATTAAACATCCGGATCATTGTTCTTCGTCGTTAGTTGTATCCTGTAACGCGTTCGCGTATTTTTTAGCGTCAAGGCTTTGTATAGGTATTTTGATTTACCAGTCGCTATTTATTTATTACCTAGCGACTCACCCTCGCTCCGATCGGGTTCGTCCCTAGTTGGTTTTAACGTTTAGTATAGATTTCTGAGAGATATTTTCCCGCAGTAAAAAGTATCGTACATGTTGATCCGGATAACCAGCTATCATCATCATACCAAATTTCATCAAAATCTGTCCAGTGGCTTTTTCGTAATGCGTTCCCAGACAGACAGACAGACAGACAGAGAAAAATTCTTAAAACTAGAGATTCGCCCTTTGTATCGATAATAATGAATATTTCAGTAATATTTTCCAAAAAATATTTAATGTACAGATTCGACTCAGAATTTTATTACATCTATTAATAATAATTATTACAGATAGAAGGAGTGTTATAAATTCGCAAAGTAAATTATGAATGTCCGTAAATAAGCTTTCTTATCAGTAAGTCTTGATATTTCAGTCTTTTCTTATTAACCTTAGACCGTGAAATATTTAATATTATCATGATTTATCAACAATTATTTAATTAATTATTCTAAAAATAGGAAAATCTATCTTTATAAAGATACTTTATTATAGATGATATACGTGCAATAAAATTGAGTACCTATACTTTATATTATAGGGTAATAAGACGGATGTACATGTACATTGTGGGCGATATAATGAGGCTCGGTCTAGTATCTTACGTGTGTGCTGTGATTACTCGACGAGCCTTGGCTGGAGGCGGAGCCTCCGCGGGAGCGCGCGTCGCTAATGCTTCCATTATTACTTGCCAACGACGGCCGCGGTATATGCCATTCTTGACTTGAAATCTGTAAAATACACATTTTTGTATACATGAGTATTATGTCATCATTTTCAAATATAATGTTTCTTAAATGTTTGGCAATTATAGAGTTGTAAACTACGACACCGTTAGTTATAATATATCTCTATTCGGAAGAAAAGCTTATACAAAAGTTCAAGTGTTGCAGGCAGACGTTGAAGTATTATGCAACTTAATTGTGCAGGTGTGTCAATATATGCGGAAATCGTTGCAGATTTCTTCCTAAAAGTATTGTTAACTTAAGTTTTTGAATGGTCACGCTACCATTATTAAATTTTCGTGTCTGAAATAGTCTTGCGTATTTTTTCACACAAAACGATTCTTGTGTTAAACTGGGACTCCAGCGAATTACATAACATGCTAATCTTGCTGTAGGCGCATTACTGTTGTGCAAATTAAACATGGTATTTAACATTTTACCACTTATGACATGTCACCTTATGGCAAGGTAACTGGCAAAGGTCTGTGGTAACCTATTACAGCAATGAGCAGGTAGTCCATGTTACGTTAATTTTTGCTCTGTACCAGTGTCGGGTATGTTTCATCAATTTTATTTTTAGGTCAAGTTTTGTTCAGAGTCCGATTGATTTTGTCAGATACGGTGTTCAAGGTTCGCGTTCTCTTTATTTGCGGTCTTGTTTTGCCGACCTCTGGCGCGATAAATCTCGCGATTTGCTTTCGGCTTCATGGTCCTCTTTGTTATTTTCATAGGAATGTTGAATGAAAATTAAATTTTTCATTACGATGTTATTGTGGAACTTATTGTTATCCCTACTGTAAACTATGTGGGCCATTATTTATTTGATCCTAAAAAAATTAAAATCGAATATATTTGATTTGTTGAAAACATTGCAAAATATTTTACTAACTGTAGAACCGGTTTTATTTCTGGTTAGCTATCGTCGTACACAGTCTCATAAAATGCTTTTGCTAAAAGTACATTTATCACTTTCGCTTTCTGTATGAACGACAACATTATATGTATTAAATATTAAATATTTTTATAACATACATTTCTATGCTCTTCATTCTCAAACACTGATCAATGAGTGATATTTTTCTTTTACCTATTCTCTTTGAGCAAATAATAGCATCCTATTAATATGATTAGTGCCTACATATTTAAATAAAGGCACTGAGACACATGCGCCATGAGCACGTGCTTTTAAAGGATGTGCGTCTGCGTCAAATAGATTTTAATTGCTATCAGCACGTGTTGCAGACACGTATATCAGCTTCCATGTGAACAAGTTCAATTTATCTTATTTGTTGCATGTGAGTTAGCACGTGAATCAGTGCATTTCAAGTTTTATCGTACATTGTTTTATATATTATTGTAGTCATGTTTATCTTTTTTTTAAATACCTATATAATATGTTTTTTATAGTAAATAAAAACAGGGTTTGAAAGAGTTTTGTTTTTAAAATTTACCTAATACATACATTTAAATGAAAGAAATCATTGATTACTTTAGCTCCATAAAAATATTTCCTACCCACTTCAATTTCCATTCCTGCTGTGGTTGTCTTTAAGAACGATGATCCAGTTAAGAGTGTAATGACAGTTGCATAGTTAGGTAACATGTTCGGTTCATCGAGTCAACTTACGCAATAGCGGCGGCAATCTTGACAAATCTAATTGACATAGCCCGCTATGTATCAGTAACGGTATATTGTGATTATTACTCCAATTATGCTTGTATTTTTTATATTTGTATAAATTAACATAATAATATGTTTAGCGTAATGCCTATTTCATTTCGAGACTTTTACTTTCTTTATTCAAATGAACAAGAATATAAAAATGAACTATTAAATCTGGCATTAGAAGAACTGAGGCACACGTTTAAACAATACCTGCTACACTTACCATGATAATCAGTTAACGACCATCTAGACTGTTCCCCTTTGGAAGAGAAAGTGTACTGTTCCATGTCTCTTCTTGGAATGCTTTCGGTAATGCAAATGTTACAATGGATAACGGATTCGGTACAACATTTAATATTTTGATTTAATTTCTTTCTTATATTGTATTGCATTCTCAATACTGAAAGTCAGACCAGTAATAACTGAAGTAGAAAGTTTTAACAAAAATAAATTAAAATTGTACAGAAACTAAAAGTGCATGTTCGACCAAAATTGTTCAAGCGAACTCATAAATAAATATGCCGTTAGAACAAGTCTGACAGAAGCGAAACGTATATTTGTGCGTCCAATTATAATATTTTATACACGATTTCATGAGGACGTCGCGACATAACTCATTGTTAACGCTGGTCACAAACACTGGTATGATGATTATTGTCGTCCTTGAACTCAATTGGCTGCATTTATGAAGCTATCAGGAATCGTGTCAATGCAAATTGCTTTGGAAGCTGTCTGACTACTGCCTGACAATGACGAAGGTCTACCTGAGGCACGGTTTATATTATGTTAGTATTTTTATTTTTTAATTGTTCAATGATTTACACATTTTATAAATATCAATAATAATAATAATTCATTCGCCTCCAATTCAAGGTTCTTCTCGTCAGATTAGGTGGTCTTGACCGAAACATCGAAATGTAAAAGATTAATTTTAAAATAAACAAACGAAATTAAAATTCATAAAAACCAATCAAAATCAATAAAATCGTTAATAGCATTCTGAATAAGTATTATAGAGATTTTCAAAGTTCAACTAAACAACGACGGGCTTATTAACTCTGACGTGGAGTGAGATGTTACGATAGAAAAAGTGGCCATGGAATAGGATATTTATCCGGATTCTTCTTTAGGCATATGATGACATCATTTACTGACGTTTACAGTTTCTGTTATTATTTAGTAAGAATCGTGCTTATTTTTATTGTCACATAACATTACTAATCTGATAGCGGCGTTGGCGTAGTGGTCAAGGGACTGGTCTCTGATCCGAAGACTGCGGATTCAATCCTCGCACAATAAATGTGGACAATAATTATTTGCAGTCATGCAGGTATTTGTTCTGGGTCTGAAAAATTGTGATCTTGTCTTGGTGTCTTCGAAGTTCATCTCGATACCAACTTTAGTTGTGGGTGTATAATATTTTCTTTATTTTGAAATAATTGCGATAAATACTAAGAATATTTAAATTACCCAAAACATTACATGGGCTTCCTACACTTTTTATGTTGATAAAGAGTACGTGAACTTTTTCGTTATTAGAATTAATTTCAATGGCAAAGTAACCTTGGCAGTTTGAGTCTTTGTAAAATATCATACTTCCTGGCTATCATGTTAACTAGTTGACAAATATTGTATCTCCATCTGTATCTTGTGTCAATTGAAATTAAGGACATTGTGTTAAAAATATAATATAGTTCTAAAATTTAAAATTATACTTACGTGACAATTAGATAAAACTTTCATTTGATATATTTTTTTTACTTTTTTTGGAATTTTCATATACGAATCAAATTTTGAGGAAAGTGATTTTGAAATCTTTCAGTTTTGCATTCAGATTATGATTTTATTGCATTTATCTTTTGAAAGAACTTTATTTGAGCATTTTAAATAATATTTTATTAATAACTTACATTTTTATAATTACATATTCCTGAGGTTTAGATTTAAATGCTTAATAAAAAGTTTTATAAATAAACTTAACCGCTATACAAATTTATCTATAGTGTATCTACGGCATTTGACATGCGTTGCTATTTATAATAACAATCATAAATTACACAATATCTAAAGAATACCTAATATCCAATAACCGCCAACTCTCTAACATACGCAATAGGGCTATTGGTACACGCATTGTTCCTAAACATCTATATGTTTCTGAACAATTATTGTTTCTGACAAAATACACTGGTAGTTTAAATTTGCATGAATTTCATAATCACTCAGTTGCTTTGGTCTGTGCTCTACAAACGAACGTAAAGATCTACTTTAACCCTATCTACAAAATATAGATACAAATGTAAAAACCGAAGGACGAACTTACTACCAACTTAAATATAGTTTACATTCTAGATCTAGATTTTTTCTTATTTGTTTTAGCATTTATAATAGCTACCAAACTAAAATCACTGTTTAAGTGAGCTTCCCAAAAACTGTTGTCTGTCTATCTTTTATACAACTGTTTGTAGCTATGTCAATATTTTTATGGCAAAAAATGTAAACATTGCAAATCTAAATTACGACCCTGAACTAATACTTGTACATTATTAAATTCAATGTTATTGACACCGATAGATCATGAATTTTAATGAGTCAACACGATATTTCGAAATACGAAGATAACAGGATTTTAATTTGCCTAGCTAATATATCTACTTATTATTTTATTATGTGCTAGATTTTCATTCTTTTCAGTGTAGTTCTTTTTATAAATTAAAAAAAAATGCATTGTCCAGTGATCTGGTTTGATGCTCGCTTAAGTCCGGGTGTTGTAAAATGTGAAGGCCACCCGTCCAAACCAACTTAGTTGTCAGTCCCTGTGCCATTTCATTTAGTTTGGACCAGCTGCTATTTAGCCGGTTTCACAACCTTGCAATTTATATAGGTACAATGTGTTCTGAAAGCTAGCTCCCTAATAAAAAAAGAACGACAATAAATTATATGCGTCCCATTGTCCTTAGCAGTCATCTTTGTTTTATTAATCAACACATTATTTTCTTATAAAATTCTGAGTCGAATCTGTATATTAAATATTTTTTGGAAAATCTTATTGAAGTACCTAGTCATTATTCATTATTATGGATACAGAGGCCGAATCTATAGTTTTAAGAATCTTTATCTGTCTGTCTGTCTGGGAACGCATCACGAGAAAACCACTGGACAGATTTTGATTAAATTTGGTATGAAGATGGTTATCCGGGTTAACATATAAGATTTAAGATTCGAGCGGAACGAGGGTGAATCGCTATTAAATGGAACATATTTTAAATCAAATCATATAGTAACCACAATTGGTAAACAATTCGTTTAAAAATAGTCCATGATTCGTACAAATGCTTTTTGATAGAGGATATATTTGTAAAGTATGCGGATCTGCTCAAATTTGGTCAAAACTAAAAACGGTGTTCCATATTAATCCGGTTCATCTAATGATTATTGTATGCTTATTATGTTATATTGTGTTACTAAATGCAAACAAATGTATTAAAATATTATTTTTGCATAGTAATGAGCTTAGTCATGAAATGAAGTGGAATATCTGAATTAATTAGATAACCGAATAATGTAATATTATAAGCTAGCTTTTGCTTCCGGCACCGTTCGTTATTAGCACAATCCTACTAATATTATGTACCCAAAAGTTTATGAGGATGTGTAAATGTAAGTTTGATATTCTTTCACCCAAAAATAATAAAAATAGCATTATTATACATCAGAGTAAAACATGTGAAAGAAACTTTGAATTGTAGCTGTATAAACGGTTTTTATTTAAATTTTCATTGTTTATTTAATAAACAATTTGTTATAAACAATTACATTTTTCTATATACTTTTTTTCTTTTTCAACATAATGAAACAAAAACAACCAGGTGTTATTTTTTGAGAAAAATAATTTATTTAAATTTTTTATCGAATTTTAAAACCTAAGGCAAGTTAAATTTTTTAATCTAAGTAAATTGTTGTTTGCAAAAAAACTAGACCCCCTTTTTTATTTTTAGTTAATTGTTTATAACTTTTGCAATTCCTGCAAGCGGAGCTAGATTTTTTCAAAAATCATCTACAAGCCATTTCGAATCGAATGACACCTCGTTCATATTTTTCCGAGACTGCTGAAAAAAGTTGACCTAAAAGGTACTTGTTCACTAGACTATATATAATCTTTATATTGAAATTTGAAACGAATCTTAAAACTCTTTCAAAATAACATATTTTCGTTAAAGTATGTTTATAAGAATTATTTTTATTATTCTACCTTGTAAATAACATTTCAGAGTTTTAAACGTTATTTGTACTTAGTAATATACATTTTATAAAAAACTACCTGCGTGTCTGGTTTACCTACTTCGAAATAGGAAAAAAAGACTAAAATATTTTTATAAGTACATATATTTTTTTTTATTATCAAGGCACACAGAATGATAACGAAAAATATCATTCAAAATGTACCGTAAACCAAAGAATTGCCTTCGCCTGTTTAAAAAATATATAATTACGTTTACATTACTAAAGGTATATAAGTGTACTTCAATTGTTTTATTATATATTGTCTGACTATATTATTAAATATGAACTATTGCCAGCGGCTCTGCTAGCGTGTGTATTTCAATTTAATCCGCTAAAAAGTCATGATTCCAACGTCTTATGAGAGCGCGTAGAAGGGCTTAAAGCTGTGTTCTATTAGACTCCCATCGAAATCTCTCTATAAGTCGAGTGATCTCAAAAACAAAATCCTTTAAAATGTTTTAATGTTAGGTACACTAAACATGGTAGACCCCTATACAATTTTATTATATGAATAAAATATGTACTAGTTCCAGCTGTCCTCGAACTTAATCAGCTGATTTCACCGAACTTATCAATACTAATACACCAAGTATTATAAAATAATTAAATTCTGATTGAATTCAAGAATCGATGCGTAAGAAGATCAAAAAGTAAAAACACTATATGGCTTCCACTTATATCGTAAACCTATACATATAATAAAATTGTAACTAAGCCGAATCTGTTATTTTTTTTAAATCTTATTGAAATAACATTATTATCGATACAGAGGGCAAATCTATAGTTTTTAGAATTTTTGTCTGTCTGTCTATCTAAATTTAGTATGGTGATAGCTGGTTATCCGGGTCGACTTATAGGATACTTTTTACTGCAGGAAAATATCTCATTTCTGAGAGAAAAATACAAAATATGCAATTTAAGAGTAGGTATAGTAATATGTAAAACCTAAGAATTTGGTTTTTGTTCATCGCGGGCAATGCTTGTATCAAATATGTACTTAAAAATGTGCTATTCAAACTCGATTGTCGTCTTTTGTCAATATTAATATTATGACAGTTGTAAACATTAACACAGACAACGTAAATATAATCATTTAAAAACAGTAATTTCTTACTTAAACGAACGTTCTTAGTTTTTATAGTCCTTATATCTTCGCTTCGCTGACAAACTGGTGCAGTCAACACAGATGGAACGATTGTAGATCTGATTTTTGATACGCGTGGGTAAAACGGCTATAAACTAACTTAACATTTTAATTAAAGTAACTCTAATGTTAACTGGAACAAATTATTTGTTTGGAAACTGTTAATTAAATTAATTACCTAAATAAGTCTTTAATGTGATTTTAGTTGGGAACATTTATGTATGGTTTCAAAATTATCAATTAAATTTATATAGTAAAGATCTAATTTTTAAGCATTTATTCATTCATTACTGTCGCTTACCAGTCGTTTTTGAAATTCTTGTTAAATAGTTTACGAAGAACTCTAATTGTAACTAATCGTTAATATAACTTACTGAGGTTTTGATATCCATGGTGCTTGTGTCACCCGCACAAATGTTTGTATAAGATGCACTTGTTATATCACTGAACACTGCATTCACTTGGTCCACATGTCTACCGGATTTGCATTCGTCTCTATAACAATTGTTATTTAGGCCTCTCTCGCCCTCTCCGTGTGGCCGGCAACGTCAAACGCGCCTGCTCCAAGCGGCAAAGCGACTAGAGTCGTACTGAACGTGTTGCAACAATCTCCAAGGCTTATATATGAGATTGTACGCTGCTGTATCTTACGATACAATAAAAAATTTAAACCAATTTCTAAATGAATTTCAAAAATTATTATTGTAAAATTTTAATTCAGTAGCTTGCAAAAAATTGCTCAAGACAATAATACCTTCCGATAAGCTTAAAATTTCTTAACATACTTTAAAAACATAACTAACATTTTTGTCAATAAAAATGAAGATCATAATATTCACACTATACGTTTCATAACATATTATGTTTACGTAATATTTGCCATTACTTTCATGACATATTATGGCGGCTTCGGTTGATCAAGTGCACAACAACAGAACTCGTCCACAGGGAAAATAATCGATTGATGATCCAATAGTTAGTATAGCTTCTAAGTCACGTTACACATTACTGAACGGGTAGTCGTGACGCACCCTTTACTCCACTGGTGGTTGTGCAACACCAAGCGAGGACACACCGTCCATGTATTGAATCATGCGGGATTCGGAAGGCAGTACTTACAATTCAAGACGATGCGTCGATTAAAAGGATGTACGTGCTTCGCCCAAGTTCAATGATTATAATTATATAACGAGCTTTGCCTCTTTCATTGAAGAAATTCAGCTCTATATTTAAAAAGTGTTTAAATATACATATATTCTAAATAATAGTAAAGTTACGTATGAATGTCATAATGAGATTAAACCATTTGTATTATTTCTATCAGTAATGGATATGCATATTGCATATACACAAGCAAAGCTTCACATAAAAATAACATCTTAAAAGTATAAAAAAAAGTAGGATTTACCCAAAATATAGTAAAACGTAATGAATTCAGCTGTGAGGTTTTCATTATTTTAATGACATTTAAAAAAATACAAATCAATAGCATTATCAATCACCAAAAATAGGTTTAGTAAATTAATCTATCCAAGGAACTTACAAACAGCACGTACATACCTACTTACGCACGATAAAAAGGATAAAATAACTAATTAGGTAGGTAAAAAGGGATGAATTTAGTTATGCCTTAATTAACAGACGTTCTTCATCAAGACTTATAAGTTTCGAGTGGCAGAATCATAATAATATAATGTTAGCAATTTTGGCTGACAACATAATTAATAGTTACGGTGACCGTAGTTTACGATTACCTTTATATTTATATCAAAAAAATTAGTAGGATAAGTCAAAATTACGTTTAATTAACTATATAACAATTATATTACAAGCACTTGTCTTAATCATCATTAAATGCGACCTCCAATCTGATAGTTTTAGAGTAGTTTATGTTATTAGTTGGTAGGTACATGATGATATAACGCATCTATGTTTCGGACAAAGAATAATCATGTAATTACAAGTAACATTTTCTCTATACAGATGAGTTGAAGGCTTTGACTTTTAATTTAAATCTGGCATTTAAAGCTATAAATTTAAAATTAAAATTTTATATAAAACTTAGCGGAGGTTAAGATTTCTAACATTATTTTTTTTTATATTTTATACATAATTGATTTCATGAAGCTGCAATGCTCAATCAATTACAAATTTGCTATGAGCAGTATATTAAACGTAATTATATTATTTTCTTTCGATCGTTTTTCACTTCTGTTTATTTATCTGTGTATTTCAAATACGTAATTAGAATAAAAAATTTAAAAAGAATTGAAAGCTTAGTACTGACTGATTAATCTATAGTCTAGCTACCATCCCACCGCGTGTTTATTTGATGACTAGTATTGTCGGCGGCTCCGCCCGCGTTCAGATGTCCAAAACCCAAATTCTTAAGTTTTACATATTAGTATACTCTTACATAGCAGTTTTTGTATTTTTTCTCAGAAATGAGATATTTTCCCAGGGTAAAAAGTATCCTATATGGTGACCCAGATAACCAGCTATAATCATACAAAATTTCATCAAAATCCCTCCAGTAGTTTTTCTGTGATGCGGTAACAGACAGACAGACAGACAAAAATTCTAAAAACTATAGATTCGGATTCTGTATCGATAATAATGTCTATTTCAATTAGATTTTCCAAAAAATATTTAATGTACAGATTCGACTTAGTTACAATTTTATTATATGTATAGATAGATGATTTTGCAATGATATCGTGTGCTCTACATAAAACATGGTAATAAATATTATTTATGTACCTATGCTGATATTCTGGCTACCACTTTAGTGTGTCTGTAATCGGCGTGTAATCGTGTGAAGGTATTATAACACGACGCTATTGAGCGCAGTTACAGCAAGGTTTTTATAAAAAGTAATTCGTTAAAGTAACAAAAGATTGAAGGCTTACTTAATTTCTCAGTCGCACGCTCAGCTTCTTCGTAATTAGGATTGTATGATAGTATACTGTATAGCATCAATTCGTTATTGCTTTATATCGCGGTTATGATCAATATGTAGGTGCTTTATTTAACAACCCATAAAATTGAGTCCTGTTTTAATATGAGTTATGATATACATTGTTATTAATTAATTTTATATATATATATATATATATATATATATATATATATATTATATTATATTTATATATATTTGGTAGTGATTTTGAAATAAGTGATATTGCCTTAGCTAATTTATTATTAATATAACAAAGCAAACAAGATAATATTTTTGTCTGTTTATCAATTTTACGAGTTTAACGTAACATGAAAACTTTTTATGTTTGCTTGAGCTGTAGCCTGCATTCGAGCAGCTAAAAGGTATCCAGATTTAAAACATTTAGTTAGATACAAAGGCTCGAGAGCGGGTCGAATGGCCGATCCACTCCAACAGCTTTATGTCTAACAGTGTAATAATATTTAATTAATCAGTTAAACAGCTATAGGTAGGCATATATTTCGATTTACATTTTATTGAATCATAAAGTTATAATATCTTATCCATATACTACACACTAAGGATTACTTATTGCAAACTACATATTAATGACTCGTCATATAGCCTTAAAAACCCAAGTGATTTTTGCTCATCATTATTATTTCCTAATAATATCACAACCATTATAGAGGCTTCATTTATTTACTAATTTTATTATTAGAAACGTCACAAGCATTTATTTACCTGCGGCGTCGCGTGTGTCTTATAATATAAGTATGCTTACTAGCGACTCACCCTCGCTTCAACGATAATAATACTATTAATTGATATCTCGTTCTGAACTAATAATGGATCTCTTCAATGGCTACTAGATTATTTTTTGAGTTTGACCTCATTGGATATATTTTGACTAATCCCATACATAACAACTGGTCAAAAGCGGTTTTTCAACTGGTCAAAAGTTTCGAAAAAATCATGTAGGTAGGTACTTAATAAATATAAAATATTCAATTTTATTGTATTTTTTGTAATGAAGATAAGAATATTCGTAAAACAGTAAAATAATAAATTTTACCATAAACGTCATTAGTAAGTAGTTTTATTTAAATTCTATTTTCTTTTTGAAAACAACATCTAATTGATTTCATACAAGTTACCTATAAATTTTACATATTTTTTAGCTATGCCTACTAGAACACAAAGTTAAACTTGCAGGTTAATATGACTTGTAGCAATAAGGATTTTGCGATAGTAGTATAATTAAAGGGCGAGGCTGTTTCAACTTGATCGAAACAATCATCGCATGTGAAAGGTATTATGCTCTCCGCTATAACAGAGATATACTACACAAAAATATTATAGGCAAAATCCTTAGCGTAAGACCCTTCTTTCTTCAGGAAATTTTATTTGTAGTTAATTTATTTCACTTTGCTTATTTTAGCACAGCTCCAGGTAAATTTCTAAGAAATTAATTAAAATTCTAAGAAATCTATTGTTAACTGACACGCCGGCGTGTCCGCGGTAGTGGATGGATAGCATACATATTACATTGCCATTTTACAAAAACTTTATTCCAAATAAAGAATAAAATATAGGTACATTGTTAAAGAACTAAACATGAAGCTAAATAAAGTTTTAAAATAATATATGTTTTAAAATAGAATAAAAATATTAATAGAACTAGCGAGTCACCCACGGTGCGCTGGAATAAAATTCTGAGTCGAATCTGCACATTAAATATTTTTTGTAAAATCTTATTGAAATAGTCTTATTAGCGATACAGAGGCCGAATCTATAATTTTTAGAATTTTTGTGTCTCTCTGCCTATCTGGGAATGCATCACGAGAAAACCACTGCACAGATTTTGATGAAATTTGGTATGATGATAGCTCGTTATTCGGGTCAACATATAGGGTACTTTTTACTGCGGGAAAAAATCTCATCTCTGAGAAATCTATACTAACCGTTAAAACGTGCCTAGGGGCGAACCCGAGCGGAGTGAGGGTGAGTCGCCAGTACCTAAATAAAATTTCCCTTATTCTTTGAAGATAGTAAAGCAATATGTATGGCATTAAGTAGCATAATCAGCACAATCAGGCTACTATTTTTGACTCTGACTATTTTCGGGCTCTGTCTGTATAATTCTTTAGTCTGAGATAAAATTACGGACAAGTGCGAGTCAGACTCGCCCACTGTGTGTTCCGTACTTTGTAACAATTTTTTGCCAAATTTCGCGATTCTAGGTCAACGGGGACTACCAAATAGGTTTTCAACCAAAACCTATAGGGTACTTCTGGTTGACCTAGAAGTATCATTTTGGTTAAAAGCAAGGTCTTACAGCACCAGTATAGGGAAAATTCCGAAAAAAAAAATTAAAAATCTCAGGCAGGACCTTGACTTTTATACACCTAATAGGGACTATATACCTCAGTATCTGGTATAAATTCCAAATTGTTAGGTCCACCCGTTCCTGAGAAAATCGGTGGTGACACACGGACAGACTGACGTACAAGAGAGTGATCTTATAAGGGCTCCTTTCTTTACCTTTTGAGGTACGGAACCCTAAAAATGTACACTAATAATGATGATGATGATTTTAGTGTAAATACCTTTTACTTAAGAATATTTTCTAAAGGACTTTACTATTCTACCGAATAAACATAGGTATCAATTTCATTAATTCATATAACCTTAAAATTTATATTTGAACATAGATCATGTCGCCTTCTTATGATTTTTTTGCTTTTATTGTCAGGATCAAAGGCTCAAAACGCTCTTTTCTATTTTGTCATTCATTGATTTCTTTACATAAATACCTCGTATACTCGTACAAATCTTAAAATTACGTACTGTTTTAATTATGATCTGCAAAAAATGTTAACGTAATGCGACTTATATACGTAATAATAATTAACTTATGTATGTTAGTAGTACACAAAACTTTACCAATTCCTTAACAGTCTCACGTCAGTAGTATCTGGAAATGTTAGTAGTTGCGGCTTACTCACAGTATGTTGAAAGCAACAATAACATATAACAAATAATAATTATATTGAAATTATTAATGTTAATGTGTTAATGGTATATAAAAAACCCAGTCCGGTTCAGGTTTCTATAAATTCATATGTACATCGTCCTTGCGAGGAATGCGAGGTCATCACGCCTTCGTGGTCGGTCGCGTTCTTTAGAGTCGCTCCTCTCGTAACAAAATAATTGTTGTTTTTAAATTAATCGATCGGTATTCAACGTATGTCAATATGACGCCAATTTTCGATTTGTACCTTGCTCTCGGCGCCTAACGTATGGTAATTGCAAGGAACTTCAAACCAATTATTTATTAGTGGCCAGTCCTTGATGCACCTTTGACACTCAGCTAAATTAAGCTTACTGAAGTTGTAACGTGGGATAATTCAGTGCTAGCTCCCTACCTTGCTAACTCAGTTTAGACGTAAACTTAGACACATTGTAAATTATTTATCTTATGGCCAATGTAAAGAAACATGGTTATTACGTATATGTACTTATAATGGGTTTTTTTACGAAATATTACCTTAAAATCATGTTTTAATTATAAAAGTGAAATGGGATTAGGGTATCAGCTATGATTAGTTTTATAACATAAACGATAGGACCGGGCCAATGAGGATCTGTTAAAGCGATTAAGACAATTGTCCTATTGTCTAAACAATTTTAAACTTTTGCTAAATTTAGTTAATTTAGCAAAAAAAGTTGATAATATACAGCCTAAGATAGGTATAAAGCGACAGACATCTTTCTTATTGGTGTGGCCGGTGATCTATAAATATTTGTCCAATGTTAATCTATTAATGAAACATATATCTATTATCTATTGAATGTAGCCAAGTGATAAAGACCGCATAAATATGCATAAACTTCTGACCAATATCCAATGGATATTCTGGGATAAAAGTAGCTTATGTCAGCCTTCGGATCATTAATCAAACACGCAAAAAATCATCTTCAAGGGGTACCTACGTCATGGAATAAACCAAACAAAACACGATAAAGAAGATACTATATTTATTTCTAAACGTCATCTTAAGTTTTTGTTTATTGGAGGTTTTTTATCCGCGATATGATGAAATAATTCAATTATTCACACGGAAGAGTTTTAAAGGTTGATCGGAATAGAACGCACTAAATATAAATCTCGAGAGTAAAGATACTAGAAAGTACCTACTTTTATATCGCTGCCAGACGGTACATCAATTTTGTTGACGTCATTTGTAATTATTGCTTCAATTCCTGATTATAAGCTCACTTTTCCTTACGGTAGATTGTAATGTCATTCAATTTGATATATTGATTAAACGCATATTAGTTTACCAATGTACTCGTATGTCATAATTTCTGCTCCCTCAAGAAAATATGTATGTTTATTAAATAAATAAATATCTTGTATTGTGTTCTCTATAAATGTTCGTTATTGGTATAACCAATAAAGTGTCAGCGTAAATACTTGAAGTTGTCCAATGTATGTCAAACATCAAAGTGGAAGAATTCTATTTATCTATAGGTGCTAATATTATAAAGAGGTAAAATTTGTGAGTTTGTGACGTTGTAGGGGGTAATCTCTGGATCTACTGAACCGACTTAGATGAAATTTGGTAATAAGATAGCTGGAGACCCTGGGAAGAACATAGGATACTTTTTATCCCGTAAATTATCCCTTAAGGAAATGAGGATGAAAGTTTCAAGTATTAAATACTTAAATATTTCCTTACCATATTTGTTATTTATTTATTACAGTAGGTATATGTACTTGGTTAAACCTAAATGATTAAAAGGAAAGTCTACTTGTACTAAATAATGGTAATTTAACTTCAGGAAACATTATGGTGTTTTCAACAATATTACAAAGTATTAAATAGAAATATTGATTTTGTTAGGATAATAAGTATTTATATCTATCTATTTAAAACGTACCTAGCGACGAAGGGTGAGCCCCTAGTAGACAATAATGTGGCCCAGGAAATACTTATGACTACGCCGCGGATTATAAGTAATCGTTTATTCGGTTGGCACTTATTATAAAGGTTATGCATATTTTGACGTCATACAAACGATATCACTTAAGCTTACGCCCATTTTACCCTTTACGTATTAAATGTAATTTTATGATTTCGTCACATATACATAATACATTTTTTGAACTTTTAATATTAATTTTATGATATAGGAAACCTCGTTACTGCATTACTACTGCTACTGGTAGTCATATCCGTGTTAATGATAGTTAAAAAGTATATATTGTGTACAGTTTACGGTGTGGATATATTTTGGAATATAAAGTCTGCGTGCCTGTCTTGACCTTTTAGTACCAAAACCAATTTCACCTTACGAAACCGCTGAGCATTTGCTCATTACGGAAGCTATCTGGTATAATATGTACAGTGATATAAGAGAAGATTCAGACAGAATTCTGAACTTCATGTTGTTAATATATTTCTTATGAATCTCGTTTATAAAGATTATATCACTCATTTTCCTCCTTAGCAAATTTTCCTAGAAGATGCATTTATTAATTTAAAGTAGTTAGTAACATATGTAAATTTTATAATTCCCATTGCGTAAATTGTTATAGGTACTTATTTTATTTACTCACTGGCACAAGTATCTAACGTAATTATATATTTTATAGGCGACATTGAAAGAATCTGTCATCTGGATGAAATTTGGCACAGAGATAGATTGTAGTTTGTAATAGCAGATAGGTTACTTTTACCCCGGAAAATGTACGGTTCCCGTGGGATCCCATGGGAATCCTTTTGTTTTTCTGGTTAAGAAAAGTTCTACGTCACTCTCTACCAAGATAGAGATAAATTATAATGTAGTATGAGTACCTACTATTCCAAAATAGACTACTTATTTTGTTTACGAATGGTTTTTTTTAAATAAAACCTTATTTAAATTTATAGTTATTAATTTATGAAAGAGAATGTTAATTATTAAATTTTGTCAGATCCAATAAGAATATGTATACGTAATAATAATTATAATTTATATACATAACTGTATAAAAAAATGTTTGTAATAGTCTCTAAATATATAGAAAAGTTTGGTAATGTCAGTTGATAAATATTTCACTAATTATACAGTTACGAGTTCCTCTACGCCAAGTGCTCCGCCCACGAGATCTGACTGTGATAATAAACAAGCGGCATCTCAAAGTTGGTATCAAAGGGCAACCACTTATCATTGACGGGGAGCTAGACGCAGACGTCAAAGTCGAGGAATCCACTTGGGTGCTACAAGATGGACGGAATTTGCTCGTCAATCTGGAAAAGGTAATGCTAATCCTCAAAATATGCTTCGACCTATTTATTTGGTTTCGTTAATTACGAGTAGAACAACTGTGACATATAACTTATTCTATTTAAATAAAATTTTGAAAAAAATATATATTAGTATTTAAAATACTAATAATTATTTTTAAATACTAAATAGTACGGTATTTAAACAACTATTTTACATGTAATGTTTAGAGAATTTTTCTGTATCTACAAACTCCTCCAAAGTCGATTATATTATCGAAGCAAAACCAACCAAAGATTATTATTTTTATGCCAAATATAAAGCCATTAACGGAGCGACTGAACCTAAAGTTAATTGTAGACTCCTGCTTAGTCACTGTACATGAGTAACTTAGAGATGTGTAATTAATTATTCTTTTGAATACGCCAGGTAAACAAAATGAACTGGTGGAGCAAACTTGTCACCACAGACCCCGAAATATCTACAAGAAAAATTAATCCAGGTAAGGAAAATAACCAAATAACAATTTACATACACGATTGATGAGCTTATTTATTAAATGGAGGTTTTTAGCCCAACAAATATAAAACAAAATATGTAACTATGTGACCTCACAAAATATATCATCGATTTATGTCCAGTTATTACTATTATTATATTAATATTAAAATTAACATCAGCGTTCCGCTCATTTTAAATAATATATTAAAGTCGAAGAGTGAAGGAGAAAGTTGTGATAGAGAGAATTTGACATTAATTTTTAGATGTGTTTAGGCGACTAAAATCTCCAACTGGATTTCTAACGATGACTTTGAATATCTATTTAAAATAAATGCCTTAAGATTAAAACGTTACGCTCTTTAAATAATAAACATTAGTTCAACACAAAATTAATGCAACTTTTGTATACACTGTAAAAATCCCGGATTATAATTTACCTATCGCTGTAGTCATATGAAATACCAGTCGTGTTTTCTTGTGTCAAGTACTTCGATCTTCAAGCTCATCTTTTGCTTATAAAAGCAATCATCTTAAAGTCAGTTTTTTTTTGTAATTGTAATTTGTTGTTCAATCATTTAATTAAATACATATTTATAATTAATATAATTTACCAGTGATTCAAACAGACGTGAACTTAAATATCATCATCACTTTGGCTTAACGATAAAGAGATAAGTAAAAAAATGACTTGCAATGTGGTATGTAATAAATCTAATAATAAAAGCTATGAATTTAAACAACGACTTCATATATTCTGAAATTAGTATTAATTTGCCGAAAATTTAACAATTTTTGTATTATATTGCTAATAAAAAAATAGATCTTAAAGAAGAAATTTTTTTTTAGATAAAGCCTAGTTCCAATAAAGTACCTAGATTAATGATCATTGATCACATATTATACAATGTGTGTAGACACTGAATACTCACATTCTGCTCTCGAGCCTATTTTTATAGTACCTTTATACTTTATAGTATTTAAGCGAATCTCGTGTTTTACTTTTATAGACTTTGCGATATGTTGCATGAATCGATTACAAATTTAAATGAAATACCAGATGTCCTAACGATAGGGTCTTCCGTGAGGATTTCCTACATTATATGTCCTAGTTTAGTTATGTTCAAGGACATCTAGACAACTATCAAGTTTTAAGTTGCAATTATTAAATGTAACGTCCGTCTTAATTGAATATTGCCTTTCCAGGTGTATCATTACAAGATAATATGAAGCAGACATTAAGTAAATGTTTATATCATCTTACTAAGTTTTATGAAAATGAGGACCAAAATAGGTCAATTCTATTAGAATAAATATTTATAATATCAATCGACCAATTACTTATTCCTATGATATTAATGATGACACGTTTGGCTCAGTTTGTAGTGACCCTACTTGCTGTGCCAGCGGTCGCGCGTTCGAGTCCCGCTGGGGACATTCGTTTGTGTGATAAGCAAGAATGTTTGTACTCCAGTCATGGGAGTTTATATTTATAATGTGTATGTATTTAAACTTATATAATATGTGTTAGTGTACCAACTATCTGGTATTCATAACAGCGGCCTTGTAGCTTACCATGGAACTAGATGGTGCTGGGTGTTAATGTCCCAACATATTTATTTATTATTTCTACTAGTTTACAGAGTTATAATAATCTAAATATAATAATAAACCTGCTGGGTTCGAACCTCTTCCCAAAGTAAGCGGGATTAGACCAAATGTAGTTTTATAGACTTCAAACGTATTTCCGAAAACTAGTTAGGTCATTTTAGACATACAGATTTCCTCACGGCGTTCCCCTTCACCGTATTGGCTGCTCTCTGTGTAATTGTATTTGAAATGTGATTTGTCTATTAAATCCGATCCGATTTGGAACGCGTCCCATTAGGCTACTTTATACCAGTGATTTATTGGAAAAATAAAAAAAAATGTTATTTCAGAGCCTTCGAAGTTATCGGACCTAGATGGAGAGACCAGAGGCTTAGTTGAGAAGATGATGTATGATCAAAGGCAGAAAGAAATGGGCTTACCCACTAGTGAAGAACAAAAGAAACAAGATGTACTTAAGAAGTAAGTAAATCATGTCACTAATTTGAATATTACTTAGCTATATATATTAAAGTAATAAGCTTTAGTATCGTGAAATTGTAACAAGCAATAATTTTTTGAGTTACTCACAAGCAAGTGCCTAACCTTTTTGGGCTCCAATACACCAAAAATGAAAGTGCCTCCCTTTGTCTATTATGGAAATAAATGTGGACTGCAAATCAAAAAAAAATAGAAATTTAAGACACTTTTTTCCTGCGTTTTTTTTTTAAACTTCTATGAGGCCCGTCAAATGTTTTTAAATAAAAGAATCCTTTGTGGGGTTGAGGCCCCCTTGAATCAGGGGCCCCATGCGACCGCATTTTTGCATTGGCATAACTATGCCATTGCTTACAAACTATTGTACATAGATCAAGAAACAAAAGTTTTTTGTTGAATTCTGAAATTGAGGTTCTGATTAATTTATTTTTTTCAAAAATTAAAACAGAATTGCCTGATATAACTTAATAAGTTTTTAAACTTTAGTTTAACATTCTTACAAGACTAAAAATAAACGACGACGAACTCTGAATATGACTGCCCTATAATAACCTCTCAATACATGTTTCTCATTACTTTCTACAATTTAGTAGTATTGAACGGAAATAAATTATTAAAAGATTTTTAAAGGACAACTCTGAATTTATCTACAAAATCAATAAATAATAATTTTATTATATATTAAAGTACTTTACAAGTACTTTCCTGATTGACCAAGAAATTCATTTAAAAATGTGACAATCTGAATTAATGTTCCTTGTAAATTTTGTATAAGAATATTTTATTGACAAGAATAGTTTCTAATATGGCTACACTGAAAGTCTGAATTGGACCTATAAGATAATTTATACGAGTAATTTGTATCGCTGATAGAAACATTACGTACTAATATGCTATCGCTTCAGAAAGCAATCTTGTACCAAGAAAATATCGTGTGGATTTAATAGATCAAGTTGAAGTAAATTGCTTTGCTTTTGAAAGTTCCTCTAAATGCGGAAAAAATAGTTCTTCTATCATTTTTTTTAACGGAGATTCTTCATTTTTTCTAAGATAAATAGTTATCATCAATGATAGTTAATCAACCCGTTCTGCATTCAATTGGATACAAATTGTATCATACAATCAATCACACCACCTCATGGTGTTGTTAGTGGTTACTGTATATATGGGATAGTTCGTTAACTGTCTACTTAGTCTAGTGGCTAGCATCACTTAACATAAAGCTACTGGGTTCGAGTCCCGGAGTTCGAGTATTCCGTTAAGAAATCCTCAGTATCTGCCCGGAATCGGAAAGCTCGTACATCGTAGACTTTGTAAAGTTGTTGGTTTTGTGGCTGATGTCACGTTCCTATCGACATGTCGTCCCCTTGGACTTTGACAGTCATAGGAATAGAGAACGCACTTACGTCTGAGCACACACTTGGGCATTTATAATATCACTTTATATATATCCTGTCTAAGTGAGAGTGGCCGGCATAGCTGAAATATATATATATCTATATCAATAGTTTTTTTGAAATTACAGATATATACTTTAATTTTAAAGTATATATTTATTCACAGACTAACAAGCAAATGTGATTGCACTGCAAGGATTGTTTTGTTGCCTTGGGCATGCATTATACTTTTTCCGCAAACTTGTCTTTAAGTCAATTTAATTAAGCTATGATAAAATATGTATTCTTTTTTTACAGATTTATGGAACAGCATCCGGAAATGGATTTCTCGAAATGTAAATTTAATTAAAGACGAAAACATGAAACCTTATCAATATTTCAATGTCGATTGTCGACCAGTTGTAAGCTTTTAAAAATATTTTTAGCCCTGTTGTGTGTATAATACATAACAGTGTCGATTATTTACATCATTAGTTATAATTTAATGGTTAAATTAATTAACCGTTAGATGTTTAAGTTTACAATTGGTATTTCACCTTATAATTACGAGAGAAATAATTATTGATTACTGTAAAATCGGCTTTTTCGTGCTTTTTGAGATTGCTTACTAGTCAATAGTAGTACTTCACATCTCAAGCTGATCACGACTTGTAATTTTTTTTTCTATTGTAATGTTTAACAAAATAAAGAAATAAATACTATACTTACTATTGTTTTATTTTATTTACAAAATAAATTTATATTAATTTATGCCAAGCCTTACTGGACATTATTATTGCATCACATACCTACTGGCTACTACTGATGAGGTAAAAAATATGTAACTTTGGTTCTATTCGTAATATATTCACATTTATAGTGATTGTGATAAATATTTAACCTCGAATATTTATTGTCAATGTCAAATAGGAATTATTATGTACATAACTCTATTATTTTGTTGTCACAAAATAACATATGACCAAATTGAAGACGGCTAATATAGAAAACAATTCCTTATTTTGATGTCTTCTATAATTTTGGAACTTACACCGTTTTAGAGAGTAGCAATTTAATGTTATTACATAATGGTTAAAATTATTGATTTTAATTAACAAAAGTTAAATAATTGATGTTTAACGAACAATGTTTACAAGTGGATACCGAAACAATTTACTAAAAGACCTAATATCAGATGATGGATTGTCACAGAATGTTCTGATACAGAATTAGTGTGGCATGTATTTTTACCTAAATATTATTTTAAAATATTTACAAATTACATTTTATGTAAAAAGACAGCAAATTTAAATCACTTTAAAATAATAAAAATCAGTCTAAGAACCGATTTTTTTTTAAATAATATAGGACAACTTTCTTATAAAGAACCATGAAAATCATAACATAAGTATGAAAGAATACCTATAAATAGAGCGTTTTGTCCTTTTTTATAAAACTCGGTAAAAATTACGAAATGACCAAAACATATGATTTGTAGAAGCCATATTGTTGAATGAACCCATCATCTGTGGATACCAGGCAACACGTTCCAACAACTCGTATTTGGTAGAACGGTCGACGCTCTGTTGCAAACTCATTCAACAAACGCCAACAGTATTGCTTTCAACATGTTGCTTTTCTCAAAATCGCCTGTTGTTGAATAGATGTAAATTCACCTTTAATGCACCTTTAGGATTTCGAAGAACAAAAACGGAACCTGTATTATACAGGTTCCGTTTTTATTCGTTTTTCTTTTTGTTTTCGATTCGTTGTTCGTTTTACAATCAATTGAATTTTTAATGAATTACTCAATATGCCATTTTACTCATATTTGAAGCTATATTATATAGCTGAAGTTTGTTAAGTAGGTAAAATTTAGGTTGGTATGTATTTTTTCATGCCGAATCATAAAAAAATGAAAATAATATTGTTTTTGTCCAAAAAATCAAAAAAAAAGTTTGGGGTGGATCACCCTTATCACTTAAGGGTTTGAAAAATAGTTTACGTCCTATTCTCAGACCTACTTAGATAGACCGATTCTTATGTGTATGTACACATAAGAATCGGTCAAGCCGTTTCGGAGGAGTTTTGTTACAAACATTATGACACGAGAATTTTATATATTAGATATTATGTATTTTAAGATTTAGATCTTGCAATTCGACTAGCAAAGTTCGTATTTACTGCACGTCTTCTTAGGTATATTCCGATTTCTATCGTCATAGGTCAACAAGAATAGAAGACCAATTCTGCGACGCATGTTTGACGTCGTGGATTCCAACCCGAACCGCTAGATATGATGAGCCCTGATTCCGAGAACATCACTACGAGTACTTATGTGTTATTTTGAAGTCGTCTTTCATAGTCATGTTTTTTGGTTATCTCTAGGCCAAAATAATAAAAATTGCGATCACACTTTGACCTAATGTTTATAAATAGATACTTCCAAAAAAATACGCAGCACAGAAAGTGAAAAATATTATAACTCTTTAGACTAACAAGAATGTATTAAATATACTCGTAAAAATAAAGACATGAAGCAATTGCTCGTATTAATGTTAAAACCATCATAAAAGTTGACCTCAATATCTGTAAAAAGAAATTAATAATGTCTACTGCAAGGCACGTACGGGTATAGAATCTCCTCGTACGCATCTTAACATTACCCGCAACCTGCATGGTACACCACCCGCCAAGGTGGCTAATGACTACCTCCCAATGACTTGGCTTGACGCCCGGTTGGATTACCGGACGCTAATGAGTCCCCACCACGACAAGGTGAACACACATTGGCGGCTATAACTGAATCAATATTACCTAAGTCCTAACTAAAAATTTTTTTTAGAAAGACTCCGGAAATAAAATACACGCAAAAAACTTCGAATTGGCTGTCGCTGAATCAATAGAGATATACACAAAACGTAGTGAAAAGATCGGTAGATTTTCCAATTTTGTTCGCCGACGGCCTAAGTTACCACTACATATAATTATACAATTACTAGCTCAACCCGCGGCTTCGCTCGCGCTAAAACTACAAAAAAAACATATACTAAAAAAAAACATTCACACAAACTTTCATCCGCTATTCTACCCCATTAAGGGATGAATTTCGAAAAATGCTAAAACACGTATTTAATTAATTGTATTGAAGAGCATTAATACCGAGTTTCAAGTAATTCTGATCATAAATATTTTTTTGGATATTTGTATTATAACGTGTTTCCCCGTGGGAAAGACATATCTCCCGCAGTAAAAAACCTATGTCACTCTCCAACTATCTCTACACAAAAAAACACGCCAATCCGCCAAGCCGTTTCGACGTGAAAGAAAAACAAACAAACACACTTATACATTTATAATATTAGTATAGATGTATTATTTTAAATAAAACTATCTTTTCGGATTTTGTCGCAACAAAATCCGAAAAGATAGTTTTATTTAAAATGTCAAATATTCGCGTAAATCTAAGAAAGTATAGATGTACCTAACATTTAATGCAGTGTAGTGCCCATAATCCTTTCGAGAATGTATGTATTCAACCCTTTTTAACGTCCGACTGCTGGGCACGGGCCTCCCTTTAATACGAGGGGAATCAGGCTATAGTCTACCACACCGGCCAAGTGCGGGTTGGCGGACTTCACATGTCTTTCGAAAATTTGCTAGGTTTTCTCAGACATGCAGGTTTCCTCACGATGTTTTCCTTCACCGTAAGGTAAGTGGTAATCAAGTTAGACATGATTCGCATATGAAAATATCAGAGGTGCGAGACCCGGGATTTGAACCCGCTTCACTTGGTTTCCCAAGCGAGCAAGCTACCACTGCCTTATTATTTTGTATTATTATATATTTTTAGTTAGTTTTATTTTTTCTTTTAACACTAAACCTATTGCTCTCTGCTGGTGAACTTGAAAATTAATTCACGTTCCAATTATGCATTAGCACACTTCGGCAATCTACGCCAAAGCTCAAAGTGCGGCATTATCCTCTATAATTGGTAAATAGGGACTAACCTTCTATCGTGTAGACTTTACTTAGGTTTATGGTCAGCAATCAGCATCGTTGTTTATTTCATGTGTGTATTCATGAATTGTCATTTGTCAATGTCAATTGTCAAATTACCAACCTTAAGTTTTCGGTGAATGTCGCCACGACGCGACTTAACAATATAAATAAACTTCATGTAATTTGCCTTAGTTAAATATATACTAATAGATATCATTTCTAAAGTTTAATTATGGTTAGAACGGTGTTTTCTCCTGAGTACTGTCTCCAGTATTTAGAACAATTAGCAACTCGCGAAAGTTTTGTATTGGGTTTAATATTAGGACAGGTATACTACCTATGCCCATGTTTTTTTAATCAATTTAAAAAAAACAATTATAATAAATTAATATTAGATTACAGAAGCACGAGAGAATGTAGTCCATTTGGCTCGTACACCGGAAGAGAAAACAAGTGATAGTACTTCCGAAGTAAGTTATACACCTGAAAAACTTGAACCTGTTCGTAATTTACTGGGAGTCTCCGAAGCTTGGGTTGCTGATCATGCTAAACATGTTACAAGAATGTTGCCTGGGGGACTATTCGTCCAAGGTATGTAAATCGTGCTTATATAGATATTCTTTTAATAAATGGTCAAATTTAACAAATACAAAGACATATAATAAATCATAAATTTATTTTTAGGAATTTTTATAACCAGTGATGAAGACATATTTGAAGATCCTAATTATTTTAGCAAAGTGAAATCTATATTAAACTTTACACATAAAGCATTAAGTGTTAACCAATATATGTATGGGAATTGTCCTAACTTGAATGAGAAATTGGTGTTGCACATGTCAACAAATACTAAAGTACTGACATGTAAAAGTGTTGATGTGGGATCAGGGAAGACTACATCAATAAAACCTGTTGAATGGAAATTTTTACCTAAGACACAGCAATGGCAAAGATTAGACTGTTATTATGAGTTTGATGAAGTCTATCCGGTCATAGTCAAAAAGAGTGGTATATCTGTGAAAGAACAGTTCCAAGTGAGTATACATAATCATATTAGATTTAGGTATATCAATCATTAGAAAAAACCCTATATAAAGTATTATTTCATAGATTTAGATACCAAAATAGTCCTATCATTATTTATTATATTATTAAAAATAACTACCTTTAACTGTATATACTATACAATTTTAAATTTGCAGCAAATTTTGGAATCTGCACATAAAACAATCCAATCAAGTGTCATGTTTATTGATGGTGAATTAAAAGATGGATCTGAGGCTCTAGAGCAACTTGTGAAAAAGAAGAAACCTAAGGGCAGTGGTAAATCTGTCCAGGATGCACCGAAATCAATGCATGTTTCTCTTTTTGTGCCTTTTGTAAGTTTTTATTTCATAAGCTTCAAATAATACTTATAGGGACCATATATACTATGTAGTTATTATTATAAGTTTGAATAAATATACTTCCAAACAGTTTAATAAAAATTACTTATTACAAATAATTTTAATGAATATCATAATGATATAGATAAAAACTAATCTTTATTAATTATTTGTTAAGTATTAAAAAACTAAAAACATGGTCATTTTTAATGATTGTTAAATGATTAACTATTTTAGGAAAACAGTCTTCCAGAAACAGTAGAATATTTGGAATGTGATGGAAGTATACACTTCAGTGGTGTAGTCTCGTCCAGTGTGTTTATATACCCCAAGGCCACAGTTAGTGAAGCAATAGCAGCAGTCAAACAAGATATCATCAGATCTTTAGCTTCACGTTTCACAATGCATTGTGATGCACTTATTGATGACAATTTGTTGCCGGAAGGTAAAAATATTACATATTACATGAAACAAAATATTGCCTGTACTAATAGCTTACAGGATTATAACTTATAAGTAAATAGATGAGATAAATATGATGAGTTATACCTTTAAAACACTTTTTGTGAAGCAAAAAATCACTTATTTTAATGAAATAGTAAAACTTTTTTTGTGAACAAAGCAATATTGCACAATGTTCTATTTCCATTTTATTTCATGAATTTAGAGAAAAAGGACTATTTTGAGTGTCTTTATCATTCCAGAAAAGGTTTGTTTTAATGAGCCACCCCGTCGTGTGCTTGTGCCAGTTGGTTCTCTTTATCTCTGCGACTATCTTTTCCCGGGTGAAGCTCCAGCTGAAGCTTTGCTCTCAGTCAAAGAACTTTTGGACTTGCAAATCACTGAAAGTGATGTTGTTTGCGATGTTGAAACACCAGCAGGTAAATCAAGAATAAATTTTGTATCATTCTTCATTTAATTTTGTATGTATTGATATTTGATAATAAATAATAATAGTTGACATTACCCTTTTTAATCTTTCATAAATTAATAATTTCATTAAATAATATTTAAAATAATCTACTGTTTCTTCTCATTATCAGATACCTCGGAGTTTGATGCATTGGACCATGATACCAGTAGTGAGGAACTTCTAGCAACACCTCAAGAAGCTAGCCAATTTATGTATATTACAGGAATTTGCTTCGCAATGTTTGTCCTTGTAGTGTCAATCTTCATACATTATTATGATGCTATTATTCAATTTATCAGCCAATCCCTCTCAAGGTCTTAAGTTTAAATGAATATAATAATATCATACTGAAATTAAGATTTATATTTTGTATTAAAAACGGTTGTATTTCTATTTATACTCATATAAGATATAAATTATAAAGTTAGAAGCCGTTATTTGCTTCGATTTTAATAACATGACGCACCTGTTTTGTACAGACATTGCTTTTTAATTTAGTTTTAGTACTCAAGAAATAAATAATTATTTTTATATACTTTGTTTTTTGTTATCCTCTTCAAATACATATATAATTGAACCCTAATTGAAATTTAAGTTCAAAGGCATGTTGTACAAAATGAAAATATTTTTTTTAAATCTTAAGGTTTAAATGCACCATTATTAAATAGACTCCACAGCAACTATCGTTATTATTTCTAACATTTTAAAATTGACTTTATTGAATATTTAAAATATACATATATATGTATCTCCTTTAATTATATGAGTATAATCAAAGCTAATGACACTTAAAAAGACTAATGAATCGTATTGAATTATGAAGAGAGCAACGGAATATCCTATTTCAAATTCAATCATACGTCAACACGTGAGTGATCTAATAAAATAGTACCTACTAAATAATTACAAAAATAATATAACACACCCCAACGAATTAAGGATAGATCTTTCATATCATAAATATTGTCTTAAAATCTTTTGTATTGATTTTACAACGCCATCTGTTGTCATATTTGGAAATAACTAATTTATTCGGTAGATGGCATTCATCGGAACTGTCAATGACTATAATGCTATTCATTGAAAAAAATCATCTCTCATCCATTGCCTTCGCACATGCGGAAAATATTTTTTCATGCTTTATGCTATGCGTGTGACAGAGACATCCGATAAACGTAGATAAAGGTACCCCGCTCTTATTAATGGTAGCATCACATTATCGTTTACGATAGGTAGTTGCCGTCTGTATCGTACATACGAGTTGTATTGTAATTGAACTAGTTTAGTAGTTTAGTTAATTTCACAACATTGCTGTGTAGTGTTGTCAACTGCGATGTTTAATATTTTGAATTAGTGTTGTGACTAATGTGTTGATCGTGTGAAAAATATGCATATATTTTTTCATTTAAACGGATAAAATGAAACGACCTCACTTCGTACATGGATAATTATTCAAAAAAACCGGTTTTAATACATGTTTTCTGTGAGATAACTAGTTACTAGTCTGCGTAACTTTGTTTACAATGGCGTTTTCGTTAAATAAGCTTAAGAATATTTTTAATGTCAACAAAGACAATCAATTGGCGGGAAGTGGAAGTTTAGATCCAGAAATAGGCTTCAAACTATCATTGCATCCAGTTAGTAAAGTTTTGTACGTGACTGTTATCGGCGCCCGGCATCTCCCGTCCTTGTTTGGACTCAGTCGCGCTCATGGCTACCTTGTAAAGGTAACTTCCAGTTTCATTTCCATAACAAGATAGTATCTTTTGTAATATTTCATTCATACTTTTGAATACAAAAGATTTTTTATTAGATTGCGGCACAAAAGCTAATTTTAATATAAATATAAAAAATGTAATTACTTAATTAGTTATGTCCTTAGGCTAATTACTGGTGACAAAATTGAAATAAGGTTTTGGTAGATTTTTTATTAGTCTTAATTCAAGAAATAACCGACCTTTCAAAGCGCATTAATATCCAGGATATTGGTGTACTTAGTATAGTTTTAAATTTGTATAAAATGGTCACGAAATGTTTATTACAAAATGTAAATGAGAATACAAAGTACATACCTAGTAGCTTTAAAGTTAAGATTCTTTATTTTTACACTGAGTTTCATATCCGTCTAATTATTTTTCTAATTAAGGCCACAAACGTTAAACCAACTAATTTAAGTTGATTATGCTGGAAACGGGTGTTAAATATTGAAAAAAACTTTTCGAATAAACCTTTATTTTCTCCATAAACTGAAGTCTTTGAACTAAATACATATGTAGGTAATATTTTAAAAGTTTTTACCAATACCTATATTTGAGAAAAATGTTTTTTAATAGTTTATGTTAACTAACATTATCTTCCTCAACTTCTACCTTCCGATAATTAGTAAATAATTAACTCTGTACTTATTAAAACGTTATACCTAATATATTATGTTGCGTAAATTATGTCGTATTTTTCCGTTAGTAAGGTACCTATTTCGATCCACAGGACTAGAAAGAAAAAGAAGTTAATGTTTATAGAATGAGATAAAACCCGCCTAGCAATAAATATGCGAATCGCATAACATACGACTGTCTTGTGATGCGTCTTTCAATTGGGTTTCTAGGTATATGCACCGTGTCTTAGGGTTATAGGAAACTTCAAACTACATAATAATATTATCTATATTATACTTAAAATTGAATCTTGACTAATTATTATCCATTCCCACTTATTTTTTAATTTCACATTCACTTTTATACTTAGTATTTTTTTAATTATTTAAAACTGAGTATTCTTGTCAATTTTATTATCACATATAAGTACTAACTGTTCATTCACTTAACTTGGGTCGTTCCATCCATCCATTCATTCCCAGTTTAATAAGTTTCCTGTCAGTCTATCCTGTATAATTTACCAGAGAATAGAGATCATAGTAAGTACCTACTAAAACTTAATTAAGTTAGAATTTAGATCCAACACGCAACTGTACTTGTTCTTTCTTATCTTTACTAATAGGTAACTAATAGGTAACTTCACTTAAGATTTAGAAAATTTTGGTTGAAGTATGGTTGAATTTAGATGTTTTATTTTAGTTAAATTCAAGAGGTAAACTTATAATATAAACCTATTACAGGCTAAATTTAGGAAACGCCAAGAGGCTTAATTAAGGCAGAGTTATAGAGTTAATTGTTGAATTTTACTTTTACAGTATTTAGCATGTTTTCATTAAGAGTACTCGTACTCGTTTAAAAATAGCTCAAGCATTATCAGACTAACGCTAATTTGCCTATTTAAGAAAACTGAAGATTCGCAATTATTATAAAGTACGACATCCTGCTACTTGTTTCTTCCACTTAAGGTTTAATTTTGCGACTACACGTGTTTCAGGGCAAATAATGGTATGACTGTTGGTAATTATTTTCTTTTTCTGCCCTAAGCTATAATTAGGGTAATTGGAAATCAGAATCGTGATGACTTTTGTATTCTTAAATTAATATAGTTTCATTTTTTTGTTCCGACTTCATTTATAATTTTTTTGTACATTTTCATGTGTAGCCTATTTCCTGTAACATGGAATAGGTCATTCTTTACCTGACTGTGGCGAAGTCCAAAGGTGGGTTATGTGTTTGACCTGTATGTATGTACGTATGAATGTCCGATCCTATCTTCCCTCGTAATTACTAAACGGCTTAACTGATTTAAACGATTCGTACATTTTAAATTCGTCTTGATAACGCGACTGTAAGAGGCTATGACAAAAATATATTCAACTAATATGTTTAAGAATAATTTAGGATAAGAAATTGTTAAATAAATTCGGAATGTCTATCTCGCCCAAAACTAAAAATCTGTAAATAAAAAATTCAATTATAAAAATATAAACCCGACTGTGTAAAAACTAAAAATCTTTTTGGTTCGCTTTTTTGTTATTTTCGCTGTCGATTTTTTTTATTGTTACAATTTAAATTTCCTGTACGGCAAGTGGGTATATCTTATTTAAGCGGCATATCAAATAACCAAATCATAGATATCCATAGCTACTCAAGAGAATTATCATATAATATAGAATAATAATTAGTTTTTTAATAAAAAAAATATTTCCTTGTCACAGAAGTGTTTGTTTAACGCGATGTCATATGCCTTTAATAAGTGATTATCGATATTTGTTATCGAAGCCCTGTCATAGTTATGTTATCATTCCCTTATCGTCGAATGCGCTCATGGACATTGAAATATGACTTTACTTTCACATGTATGACCAACGTTATGGTAATTAACTATAATTCTAGTTAATATTAGAATATTGTCGAGTAATATAAAAATCACTCATTATGATACATCACATTGTAAAGAGTAAATAAAATATATGAATTGAAGATTTTTTATACGTTGCATTACGTTAATTTATATTTATTAGTTTATTTCTATATAAATTATGCATTTAAAATTGTGCAACGAGTCGGTAATAAATAATAAAAAGTGTTAAATGCTGTATCGTGAAATCTTATTGAACGAATGAATCGAAACAACGATGCACAACATACTACGCCTGAGCTTGAATAAATTATTTTTAATGTAGGTACATAGTGTTGCACTGACAGCTGATAGTTGATTTGGCAAAATTGTCAATTACTGTAAGGGCAGCCCCCAAATGTTCAATTTTACAAAATTTTGGAGTTTGGGCAAAACTTTAGTAAGTTAGTGTGAATCCGAAAAGGTTTCTGACATAGTGTCATCGGTAGTTCCAAGATTATGTTGCTATCTATCGTATATTGATGACACTAACACTATGCAACTATAACCAGAGAGTAAAACCAGAGCCGGTCGTTAGTTATTGGTATTTAGTTTGTTTAGTCAATTTTCGTCATGACTATATTTTTTTCAAATTTGTGCGCATTTACAAAAATTACGATTCTCACTAATTAGGTACCTACATAATACGTGACTCATAAAGTGATGTAATAAATAATTAATTAAGTAATAATGCAATGTTATTCACGTCTAAACTTGCGTGCAGAATGCCCTATTTTGTAAGAAACATTGTTAGGTATATTTTTAGGCTATAATTAGTTAACATCAATAAAGTATATAAAATATAAATATAAAACAAAATATTTATTCTGAGAATTTAGATTAAAATAATCAAGATGTTCTGAGGTTGGATCAAGGTGGTGGAAAACTCAGGGGTGTTGTAGTGATTGCGCAAGCGATCCTGCAACGCCCCATTGCACTGCGGCGACGGGTTCCGCTGTGGGTTTTAGTGAGTAGGAGTCTCACAGTACCTTGTCCATTATGCCGGCGGGCAGGGTCCCCATGATGGGTTTCCCCAGCGTCAACAAAACAAGAAAAGGTGTTCAAAAAAAGGTGGTGGAAAACTACACAATGATTTGTTAATACCTGCACGACCGCGGACACGCTGGCGTTACAGTTAACAATAGATGTCTGAGAAATTAACCTAGAAAAACCTTAGAATTCTGGGCTCTGGCCCTCATTCAATTAGTTTTGACCAGTCTCATGGATTATACATTTGGTTAAATACGTGTTTCCTCAATGTTAAAATAACTGTAGTAGATAGTTTAAAACGTACCTACCTATTTTAAAAATAAATTATTTTTTTGGAAATGTTTATTAATAATACATATGTATAGTGGTCACAAACTTTAGAATAATGCAATTTTAAAGCTAAATAAGAATACAAAAAATATATATCAAAAGATAACAAAACCTGAACTTCAAGACAAGAAAACCTAATTTTACATTAGGTATAAATAACGGGGCGAAACGCTAAATCGTTCGCCCTGCCTACTTCGTTTTGCAAGATAGTGTAATATGTATTGATGGATATTATAGCCTGTGAATAAGGAACATATATCCTACGAGTAGATCTCCTTTATATTTGGACGTTTTGATTTACCAAATTTTCGTCAAGTTTTAGCGGGATAAAAAAATGCAGATAGGTGCACCGAGGGTTCCATGTATGTAATTAATTGCACAATGCTCATTTTGAACGGTCGTCCAATAGATTTTACATTATTTCCTTATTAAGTTATATATAACATATACACGTATAACAGTTCACGTGAACCTCGAATTTTAAATAAGAATAAAAATATACCTTCGAAATACAGCTAGGTACATATATATTAGAACCAACAGTCTTTGAATAAAATGTGACAAATGAACAGACGGACCAAAAAAACATTGAAACGCTGTATTTTGCATAAAATAAATCTTTTTAATCTTAATAATTAAGCTCATAAACTAATATTTATTTTAACTATGAGTCAGCGCCAATCGAAAAAGGAGCTTTCACTTTTCTTTTAAGTTTCCTTTAAGATAAATTTTTAGTTACAATACTAACTAGCCGTTGATTTTTTCATTAACTATTAGCACAGATCATATAATGGTATTAGTATTTAAAATACTATTAATATTTGAAGAAAAAAAAACATTCAACGGTAACTTAGTATTTTTAACTAAAACTCATCTTAGATGTGAATTCTTTTTTCAAATTGAAATGGGATCAACTTCCAAGTACAGGGTATAGCAATATACAGTAATAAAAACTAAAAAAAACCGACTTCCAGGCACATAAAATGTAAAAATAACTGAACGGGGGTTTTCATTTTGAATATGTAGATACCTAATTAGCTATTTTTGAAGTCAGTGCCAGCCGATGCAAACCAAATATAATATATATTTTGATACGTAAAATTTATCACAAATTGATCTATAATATTTTAACTATAATTAGAGTTCATACCTAAGCATATTTACCTATCAGATATTCATAATGTTAAAATATTGTCAGCTGGTACCGACTGCTTGCTGATTGCTTTCGATTTTAAGTTACGATAAATATTATGATTTCAGGTAAAAATATTTCCTGGCGATAGTAAATTTGAAACGTTATTGCAAGAGAGTTCATGGCCAATATGGAATGAAGACTTTAAATTTCAATTAAAGCAAAAGGATGTGAAGAAATCGACCGATAAGGTTGACCTACAGAGTTTACTTGCTGGTCATTTCTTATCATTAACTATATATGCCATATTAGAAGCTCCAAAACAAGAATCAGACAAGAGGAAAAATGCTAAAACACTTGATTCTAAGGCACTTAAATCGTTGAATGAAGAAGAGCAAAAGTCAAAGACTGGCAGTCTATTTGAGAAAACTCTTAGCAGTTTTAAGTCAACTAGAACGGAGGCATTATCTCAAAAATCAATATTAGAAAAAAGAAGGACAGTTGGTGCGGCGACGTGGAATTTTGATTCGAAATTATTTCAAAATGATCTGAAGAACGGTTTGATTGGAACACCCGATATCTGGAGGCCTATAAATGCGATCGCCAGTGGCCTGTCAGCTGCTGACTCTCGGGTAAGTAAAGTAATTAATTGTAACCCTACGTTTATAACAACAAGTGCAGTAAATGTAGAAACACACTGTAACTTTGAAGATTAACGCAGCCATTAACTTTTAATAGTCCCGTAAACGTTGTTTTTTATTTTCAATGACATCATTATCAGAAGTTGGAGCAGTATTTTTAAGCGTTATAATTTTCTGTTTACACTTAAGCTTCCGTCTCTATAATTTATAAACATCGAAAAAGGAACCTATTTGATTTTAAGATTACCTTGAATGGTCTTGTAAACAACATTTCGCATTATCAATGTTTATTCCAAGTCATTATTTTCTAAAAAAAACTTATTTTGTTCATTGAAATTTAAATTTTATAATATTATACGTGGTCTCTAAGTTTTCACAACGTGGACATTTCGGTAAATTCAAACTTGTAAAAATTATGAGGTGCTGACTGTTGACGTTTTACGTGTGTTACGTTTTTACGTGTTTACTTCCAAAAAAAATGAGGACGGTCTATGTTCGTCTGTATGTATTTTCTTAGAATGCAGTGTTTAAGAATGCAGTGTTATGGTTTTAAAAGTATAATTAACTCCACTAAAACAAATTAAAAAACTAAAGCAGGTTAATATGTGTTATCATCAAATCTAATGTCATCATTATTACTACCAATTAATCTCAATCGTGTCTTCTTTATACTTAATGATGACAGTAGAGAAAAATTTTGCTCTAGACTCTAAACAACTAAAAAAAAACAACAAATATCACTATTAAGTAGATAGTATATTTATCAATTAATTTATGTATATTAAACTAAAAAAAATGTTTCATAATACTACATTTATTGTATTTTAATTCTAAAAAGAGTTAGTTTGTTAGTAAAAGAAAAATTTCAAATTAAACTAACATCCTACATAGGTACTCGTAGGTACCTACACATAAAGCTGCTTTTATGTAAATTATATAAAATTACATAATAGATACTTTCATTAGGTACTTACCTAATGTGAGCTACTGATAAGAACCACAGGTAACAAATCTTTTTAATAGCTACGTGATTCATTCGGCTGATTGACTTCATTATATTCTCTTATGTGTAGGATTCAACTTCTGACAATAGAACAGCTTTGACCTCGACCGAACCCAGTTAGAGTATGTGCCCTATCATTATTACGCTGACGTAAGACGTTGACCTTGACGCATCTTTTTATAAGATTTGAAGATTTTTATAGCAGTGTTTGGCCCCTAATAAAACTTCGAGATATTCCTTGCTTATATTCTTATATTCAGTAATTTTATAAACGTCAGTGAGTTACATAATTTATAATCATAATTTTTCCGCATTACAAACAATTCGTGCCTAGTCACTACATGCCAACATGGTGGTACCGACATCTCTGTGCAAAAGCGCGGGAAAGCAAATGAATATCCGCGCCCTTTTTTTTTTAAACACTTTCCTATCGGCCAAGGTCACATAAGTAAATGCCTTATACATAAATCATTACAAATTAATCAAATATATTATTTTCTATTAAAACACTCAATATATAAAAAATGCAACCTTACAGGAGTTACATAATTAACCGTGAATCTCTGTGTTGTAGTATGTGTGTATGTATGAACGTTATATTTAGTTCTAAATTATATAAAACGCTAACAAAGTCCGTCCTTAGGTACGTGTTAATTTTTTTTTTCAGCGGAACCCTAATTCTCGTTCTGAAACAAAAGTAGCCTCAGTTACTCCTTACAACATCAGCTATATATATATGCCAATGCCTTCAAAGTTCAAAATCGGTCCAGGCGTTTCGGAGATTAACCGGAACAAACAGAGAGACAAACAAAAATAACATCAGCTATTTGCCAGTGAAAGTCACGTCAAAATCGGTCCAGCCGTTTTGGAAATTAGCCGCAATAAACAGACGGACAAAAATTTTAAAATTTTAATTTTTTTTATACGTAGGTAGATACCCACCAATCCAAATGCATTTAGTAAAAAACTCTTATTTTGACATTACAAACAGTCACTTCAATTTTATTTATCTTTACCTATAAATTAAAAAAAATATATTGGCGAACAATATTTACGAAATACAATGATTTTTTAACTTAACCACAAAAATTCACAAGTTCATAATCGCTAAGAAATAAAAAACCCGACTGCATAAAAGCTAACTAAAAAGATGAAAACAAGTTGACGAAGGAATATAGTATTATGCAATCGGAGACATACCTACACGTTTCATCCTTGCCGCGAGATGTAGTATACACTCGTATGATGAACCCGTATGATACATTCCCCTGAGATAAAACCTAATGATTAAAAAAATTTATGATAATTGATTAAAAATTGGCAAATATATACCTAACCCAAAAAAATTTACTCCTATATTTTGAAGTCATTCAATTATCTGAATATAGAGACCACCTATATTGAAGTTTTTAGAAATTATGAAATATATGAAGCGAAATCTTTTCAGCTTTTTAGGTAAAATAATCTACAAAATCATGTCAATAAAGCATCCATTGTATATCAGCATTTAGACTTTAATTTGTATAATGCTATTTGTAATACTTTAGTCAAATGTTACTAAAAGCTTATAACGCTTTCGTAGGATTTTCATTTTGGGATTATCAGTTAAAGGAATATGATTTAGAAAAGCTTTACTAATTTACATAATTGGCAAAGTTTCAATGGTAAAACCTTTATTAAAGTACCATATTCTTTAGTCAATTGTTTTTGGATAATCACAGCTCTATTGAAATAAAAATAGACTGAAATAAGAACCCAAAAAAAATTGTAATTTTTGTATCAAAATCGCAAAACCTACTACTGGAGATGATTGGCCAATTTATAAAAAAAATGATAATGGATAATTAATAATTTTAAAAATTAAATTATAAAATTTTAAAAACCAAGAGCCACCATTTGCTTTACGGTAAATGGAAACATCGTGAGGAAATCTACATGTCTGAGAGAACTTAGCATGTTTTCGAAAGACATGTGAAGTTCGCCAATCAGCACTGGGCCAGCGTGGCCTATGGCCTGATCTCCTCGCCTCGAAGAGAAGGCCCGTGCCCAGTAGAAGGATTAAATACAAATAATTTGATTGTATAAAGCTACTTTCAAAATACAATAGTCGCTTGTTATAGATACAGTATCTATAGTTAATAATCTAAAAGGGGAATAAATAAACTAAATGAATAATTAATTTAACTTTAAAAAGGCACCCTGATCCTATTGTAATATTTGAATATTATGTGAATTCATAATTTTAACAATGAATAATTTATCGCTACAGAGAGAAAATAAAAAAGGACAACTTGAAGTGACGCTTCTTTACACTTCGAGCGAAGACGGGTTAAACGACATAGTGCAGCTCACTGTAAATAGATTGCGATGCTCAGTTCAAACCATGCAAGAGCAAGAACAATATAAAGGTAAGTCCTTGTGGTTTGTAGCGGTCAATACTATGACTTTGAAACTGATACGTGTGACTTACGTACTCGTACATCGCGGTCGTTTACAATGTTAACTTTAAAACATTTATATTATCAGCTCTCTATATAATCCTGAAGGTAGAACCTTCTGGTAGTTGTTTTATTCTACATTTGATAACATGGGGGCCTACCATCAACTTTTACATCGCAATTTATTTTCGATGCAGTTCCGTTTAGGTTCCGAAACTAAATCGCTATTTCTTTCGTCAAGCAACAATGATTACATTGTTGTGTTCCGGTTTGAAGGATAAGGTAGCCAGTGCAATTATAGGCAAAAGGCATATCATCTCAGTCCTCACAGTGAAAACGCACCTACGGTTCTGTAATACAGCCAAAGCTATATAAAGTAATATATAATATATGTGTACATTTTATACGCATTAACTTAGATTAATTATCACAAAGCTTATTATTTCTGACAATTAGGATAAGATCTCATTTAGATTGGACAGATCTACAGTAATACGAGTATGTATTTTTGTTACATAAAACCTAAGTGCATGAACCGTAGGTGTTATGGGCGACACGTACTGCTTTCCATCTGGTGGTCTGTCTGCTCGTTTGTCACTGAACACCATAAAAGAAAAAAAAGTTTTCGTATCACCAACAGTATTGGAAGTTTGATCGTAATTGAATTGAACTGGTGTTATTTTCTTCAGAATCTGACCTAAACTGAACATCTTATAAAGCTCATGGTACGAAATGCCGACACAATTCATTTTAGGTTCGTAAATTGACTCGCAATAAGAGTTGATGGTATTGGCCTTCTGATATTCTATCGCGTCTTGATTACAAATTCATCGACGTTTGTTTATTTTAAATATTCAAGTTTATTCTATAAGTTTCAAAATATGTAAAAAGATCAAAGATGATATAAATTATATATCTTTTACCTTTTTTTATTTTTACGTATTTTCTCTATTCTTTGTCATTTTTTTCGTGTCAACACAAACATACATAAATAAGAGTAAGCATAATATTATTTCTCTTTTTTCTTTCAAAAGTCTTAAACATTGAAAACAATATTTTATTTTCAGGAATAACGGTTAACAATATAATTATTGACAAACTCACTAATGAAGATAAGATTCTATAAACTTTTAATGGCGTTTGTTCGTGATACGTGTTGTAAATTGTAATACTTTTGTTATTCATTTATTTATTTTAATATACATGAACAGCTTAGTTTACTTAATTTGTTAATGTTACAATTTATACTAAGTTACATTTAGCAAGGTATAATCTATACATATAATAAAATTGTAACTGAGCCGAACCTGTACATTAAATATTTTTTGGAAAATCTTATTGAAATAGACATAATTATCGATACAGAGGATGAATCTATAGTTTTTAGAATTTTTGTCTGTCTATCTGCTTATTACCGCATCACAGAAAAACTACTGCAGGGATTTTGATGAAATTTGGTATGGTGATAGCTGGTTAGCCCCTACAACGTCACAAACTCACAAATTCACAAGCTCACAAACTTTACCTCTTTATAATATTAGTAGTATAGATAGATATTTTGCTGTTACAGTTTAAAAATTCATCAGAAAATCATGATCTGTTATTTTTACAAAAATTTGTATTATACTTAATTGAAACATTAGTATACCTAATTTAAGTAATTTTACCAAGTCCATAAGAATTTAATTTAATAGAAACGATTTATAAAATCAAGTTATTGTTGTTGGAAATTTATCTTTACATATAATAAAATTCTATCTGAGTCGAATTTTTACATTAAATATTTTTTGGAAAATCTTATTGTAATAGTCATTATTATCGATACAGAGCTCGTATCTATAGTTTTTAGAATTTTTGTATATTTGTCTGTCCGGCCGTCTGTCTGTCGCTCTGACTGTCTGTGTGTCTATCTGTCTGGGAACGCATCACCAGAAATCTACTGGACAGATTTTGATGAAATTTTGTATGATAATAGCTGGTTATCCGGGTAGAAATATTCTATATGGATACTTTTTACTGTTAGAAAATATCTGATCCCTGAGAAATCTATACTAAACGTTAAAACGTAACGTACGTACGTACCTAAATATAAATGAAATATGAATTCAAATCTTATAAACGATATTATCACAAAACAATTTGAAATGGTATGTACATAAAAATACTATATTAAGAAAATGTTCAAAAACTTCAAATGGACTTTATTTACTCCGACTCTTCTAAGTATTTACTTGAATATTTTTTTTCTTAAAAGTTAAATGTTGTGTAGTAATACATGCTCGGCAATAGAAAATAAGGAGACAATCTAGTACCTTTACAAAACTACTTGTAAAACGGGACATAAATGTATTGATATGAATAATTTTGAGTCTAAACTCACAAACGTCTATGGCCGTGTACATGCGTAAGAATGGATGCTCAGTCGCCGGGGCCAGTGGGCCGTGTAATGCTGTTTGCTTATTAAGGAGGAGAGAGTAGTTGATACGATTGCGCAGTGAATCATAAATTGTGAATGACAACACGATGTTCTAATATGTAGTGTTGCAAGGAACATGTTAATTATGATTTAAATTATTTAAAATAAAATAACGCTGTACTCTTAAGTCGTGGGTCTGCCTAATACACTCATGTCAGTATATACTTAAACATCCAATACTATAAATATTTTACTCCGGCTAAACACGAACCCGCGAACATAGCGTAGAAATATGTATGTATCAACTTCGACCATGAGCCAATAATAAATTCAAACGGTAGTCGCCTTTGGCCTCTTTATATATGTATATGGTCTCTTGAGTATGTATGTATAGACAGGGAATTATACTTTTGTAACATGTCACAACCGTCATGGTGGAATACTTATAGCCTGTTTTATAAAATACTAGCATTGCCCGCGGCTCCACCCGCGTTCATATGACCAAAAACCAAATTCCTAGGTTTTACATAGTATACTCTTGTATTGCAGTTTTTGTATTTTTTCTCAGAAATGAAAGATTTTCCCAGGGTAAAAAGTATCCTATATGTTGACCCGGATAACCAGCTATTATCATACAAAATTTCATCAAAATCCCTCCAGTCGTTTTTCTGTGATGCGGTAACAGACAGACAGACTAAAATGCTAAAAATGATAGATACAGCCTCTGTATCGATAATAATGTTTACATATTTCAATAAGATTTTCCAAAAAATATTTAATGTACAGATTCGGCTTAGTTACAATTTTATTATATGTAGGTATAGATGTGACTGCCTCGTGGTTATGGATCAGATTGATTTTTTATTAATTCTCATGCAAAGCACTAAGTGGCCAACATTTTTAGTCCCAGATACCTACCTATCTGATCTGGTTAAAGTACTATCAAAATGACCAGCCTTTATTCTACGGTTCTACCACTCACGATCAACCGAGTCAAGTTGACTCCTAGTGATTATATCGAGGTTCTAAATTGCGTCTCCTGAGTCCTGACTACACGCCTGGCTTGATTGCCGGGCGCTACTGCTCAAACCATTACGAGGTTTCGAGGGAGCCGCACCCAATGTCCCAAAAAGCGGAAGTGCGTGAAAATAAAAATAAAAAAAAATGTATCTTTAATATATACAATATTGGTTATTTCATTGTTTTATCGTCCAACTTAATTGCTCTAAAAATGTATAAGAACCCGTGTATTTTGACGTAACTAATGTTTATTGAAGCTTGTCACGTAGTCACTATATTTTTCATTGTTGTAAGGTAATATACCAAATATCTACTTAAAAATCCTTTTTTGTGATAACTTTACCGTCCGATTTTTTAACACGAAAAAAATATATGCAGTTAAATATGATACTTGTTATGGTCACTCTGTTAGAGTTATTACGTGTCAAGTGCCAACGAAGCCGCGGGTAGTGCTAGTATATTATAAATTAAATTATCATGTCAGGTCCACGACGAAGACTGGCTTCAATTGCAATTCTAATATGGTTACATAAGAAGAGTAGTAGAACTTGTAGTCTCTGGAGAGACTATTATTCTAACACGTCTTTAGGGTACGATACCATATTATGTTAATGTATAAGTGTTTTGTCATACATTATTTTGTAATGAATTATTTAAATAGAACTTTTCTATAAAAAGAAGCAAGGAACATGTATATTGTATTTTATAATTTTAGTTATTAAAATAAAATAACGCTACACTCTTAAGTCGTAAGTCTGTCCAGCCGTTTTAGCGTAAGGAGTAACAAACATACGGACACACAGATACAAACTGTCGCAATTATACGTTAATAGTTGTCCGATTAGTCGTAAGCAATAGAACTTTAAATAATTTTAAACCTAATAGTAATAAACCACACAATGAAATATTAGTTACACTTATCCTACTTAAATGACTGCTTTGTTTCAGCTCCTTTATATTTGAAGGCAACCATTTTGGAAGCAAATAAAGCAGAATGCTATTGGAAGAGCGATAGATTTGTACCGACTATATCCGCCAGGTGGGATCCCAAATCGGCAACAGTAAAGCTAAATGTATTTAAAGCAAGTTTAAATAAAGTTAGCATTTACATCAGTCTCGGATGCAAAACTAAAATGGCCAAAAAGGAAATACTTGGCAAGGCGCTTATTGATGAGAAGTCACCCTACACGGACAGTTGGAATGAATGTTTACGACAGCCAGGAATACCTAAAACTTTTTGGGTCAATTTTGAATAATAACCCTCTTAATTACAAAGATCAAACGTCAAAAGCTTATAATATCTACTTCATTTATCAACCTTTCAAATATATATTTTTTTATAATTACAAATTGTATTAAAAAAATACATAGAATTATAGAGTGTATATCATTTAATTTACTTATCTCGATATATTTTTAAAATAATATTGTTATAATGATAAAAATTATTATGACTGATTGTGATATTTAAAAAAATATGACCAAAATGACATTTAACGTAAGCTTATAATATTAATTTCGTAATTATATTTAATTTATGTATAAGTCGCCGTCCTTTGTATCTTTATAGCGAACTAGTAGTCCAAGTCACTTTTCAGCCTGAAAACACTGCAAAACATCATGTCGATTTATCACTATCGTTTCATGAGAAGAACCAACAAGAAATAAATCAATAAACATACTTTTACATTTACATTATAGAAACTAAAGAGTAAGGATTACGGCAGGCATTCATATCAAAGAGGTTTCAAGAACTTTTTAACGAAAAGACTTATTTATGACATCGCAAAACTTTATTGTGAATAAGTAATGTATGTTCAAATAAAATATATTTAAATTGTTTTTGAATATTGTTTTTTTCCTCAAATTATTTCGAAAATAAAGTACATATATTTTTATATACCTAGTACAAAATACATAGTAGGTACTAATAGCCAACGCACTCGTTGCTTGGGTCCTGGGTGATATTGAAGTATGAGAATTGAATATACCAGGGTTACTCAAAGTGGGGTACGCGACTCCTTAGGGGTTCGCCATTTGACTGTAGGAGGTTCGCGACAAGATTTATGTAATGGCTTGCGGTTCACTGTTGTTTGGGAACTTCAACAGGGGTACGCGGGGCCATAAGTTTGAGAAACGCTGGATTATTCTATGTAGTATGCACATTTAGATAATGTAGCTTTGAGATGATAAAAGTATCAATATAAAATCGGTTCAGTAGTTTCAGAGTTTGTTAATTAAATCGAACAAATATTTGCTCTTATTATTATATATTGATATAGAATAGAATAAAAAAAAATAAAAATAAAAAAATAATAATATTGATATAGAATATTATAATATTGAAGTCGGAGACATTAGGCACATATGTACATATATTACTTGCTTCTAGTCTTGCCACGTGTATAATTAATTTTACACAGCTTAAAAACAAATCGGTACATATCTGGTGATTTTCATTCGAACCGTTTTTTCTTTGTTCCTCGTGAGACCCTATACTAAAATTAAAAGTTTCTAGAAAAGTAATTTCCTCTAATCCTATCCGAGAAAGGTTACTTAAGCCCGAGTAATTACTGCAGGATGTTATCCTGTTCGCAGTTAAAATTGCACTTCACTTACAGGCGACATGACATAAGCCCCTTAATTTAGACTAACTTTTACTTATGGTTTATTATATATATATTAAGTAATGTCTAATGAATGTTCTAATGAAATTTTCAAGAATTTTGTTTGTAATGTACGTTTGTAGCAATTTTTTTCGAACTTTATTTAACTACGTAAAAAAAAGTCAGAACGAAAACTACATCAAACACAAACTTGAAGTACCTGCAGTCCATGGCACAACCAGCGAAAATAACAAAACTATGTACGCTTTATAGCCTCTTTTGAAGATGAGAAGGGTGGAAACAAGAATAAAATATTATAGGTATGTGATTTGCGAGTATGAGAATAATAATAGACACAACAAACATGAAATCGAAAATATACCTAACTACCATGTCACAAATATTACTAACCATAACTTCTATTTTCTCAAATATTTTTTCATAATTACATTGTTTTAATAAAAGTAATCTTTTAAAAGAATATAAGTTGATAATTGTGTTGGCTTTAATTAAAAAATCTTAGGAAATCTAATTTTTCTAAAAACATTTTCAAAGATTACGGGCGGACTAGTGAGAGATCAGACACTACCCCACTAGTGAGACCAGGCGCAGGACAGACGGCTTTACGTGCTCTCCGAGGTACAGGGGTGAAACACCACCAATTTCCCAACTCCGGGCAATTACTGTAACTTCTTTAACAGAATGACTCAATAAGTAAACTTGGTCGACCCGGGACTCGAACTCACGATCTCCGGATATGCAGCCGTACATGCTAGCCACTACACCACCGAGGCAGTTGAACTAACAACACAGATGGCGCGATGTAAGAATAATATACAATATTGATGAAGGCAGTGGTAGGCCAGTGGTAACGCGCTCGCTTTAGGAAACCGAGTTAAGCGGGTTCAAATCCCAAGTCTCGCACCTCTGATATTTTCATGTGCGAATTTTTTCTAACATGATTACCACTTGCCTTACGGTGAAGGAAAACATCGTGATGAAACCTGCATGTCTGTGAATGTGAAAAATGTGAAGTCCGCCAATCCGCACTTGGCCAGCGTGGTGGACTATGGCCTGATCCCCCTCGGCCTCGAAGAGAGGCCCGTGCCCAGGACTGGGACATTAAAAAGGGATGAATACATATACAATACATTGATTATAATAGTAATCTAAAAATCTATAAGATCGCCTTTAATATTAAACGAATTGTAATCGGTTTTTCATAAGTATAAATAATCGTTTTAATATAGCACCTTTATTTTATTGTAAATTTTATTCTTAATTTTACATACATAAAATGTTTATTTTTTTGTTTTGATCTATTTGAATTTATTATGATTTTTTGAAGTAAATAATTAATATTTCTATATAAGCATATTATGTATAGGCATATATACTCGTACCTATCGAGTATCGCTTAAGGATGTTCAATAATAGGGTGGCTATTAACTGAACGAGTCAACTGTGAAGAGCCAGCAGTCAATAATTGGTTTTACGAGCAATATTGTATCATAAAGCTCGTATTTCATATTTTTACTACATCGAAAAGGTTTATCTTCACAGTTTGCGATACTTTCATTTAGTGACATTTCAAGGTACACTTTATCCAAAAGTTTTGATTTGTTAAAAATAATACATGGATTGGTAATAATAAAATAAGAACAAAAGTATGATCATTTATGTAGAGATTTATTTTTTAGTACACTAATATTTATTATTAAGCAGTGGTAACCCAGTGGTAGCCCAGTGGTAACGCGGTCGCTTGAGAAACCGAATTAGTCGGGTTCAAATCTCGGGTCTCGCACCTATGAATTATGATATTTTCACGTGGGAATCATTTTCCAACATGATTACCACTTGACTTACACGGTGAAGGTGTTTGAGAGAATCTAGCAAGTTTTCGAAAAATATGTGAAGTCCGCCAACTCGCAGTTGGCCAGCGTGGTGGACTATGGCCTGAACTCCCTCATATTGAAGGGAGGCCCGTGCCCAGCAGTGGGACGTTAAAAAAGTTCTGACAATACAATATTTATTATACAATAACTTATCGTTTTCACTATCATGAAAGTAAATATAAATATATTATCATATACATTATTAAGAAAACTAGCGACTCACCCTCGCTCCGTTCGAGTTCGTTTAAACGGTGTATAGATTTCTCCAGAGATGAGATATTTTCTCGCAGTAAAAAGTATCCTAAATGTTAACCCGGATAACGAGCTATCATCATACCAAATTTCATCAAATCCTGTCGAGTGGTTTTCTCGTGATGCTTTCCCAAACAGTCAGACAGACAAAAATTCTAAAAACTTAAGATTCCGCCTCTGATGGATAATAATGATTATTTCAATAAGATTTTCCAAAAAATATTTAATGTAGGTACAGTTTCGACTCAGAATTTTATTAGGTATATGTATAGATGAATAATATAAAAAAAATATTATTTATTACTAGTTCTCCAAGTTTGAATTTAATAAGGATATTATTCATAGTTACACAGCGTGAAAAGTTTGGTTAAGATGATTTATGAGAGGCATAAAGTATGGCACATTTCCAAGTTCCTGACTTTAATAGTTTGATGCAAGTTGTAGTTAATTAAACACATTTTGCCGCAAAAAGTAATTTTAAGACTTAAGACTTAATTGCTATGAAGTTCTTGGTACCTAGTTATGTGTTTTTTTTAAATGGATTTCAAATATTTAATAGACAATTCAATATACCGCGGACACGCTGGCGTTACAATTAACAATAGATTTCTTAGAGATTTAATTATGTAATTTATTAGAAATTTACATTTAGGTGTCAGGTAAAAAACGTTAGTTAAAGGGATTTATAATATTATGATAGAAGTTTAGCCTTAACTTTTAAAATAGCAATAACGTTATCATAATACATTGAAATTAGTCGATTGAAGTTAAAAATGTTAATAAAGTAGTAGATTTTTTTGTGGATTTACGTGAATATTTGACATTATAAATAAAACTATCTTTTTTTTCATTTTTTTGCAGATTTTTTTTTTGATTCCCGACGTTTCGAATGTTTTACAGCAATTACGGCCACGGGAGAGATTACTAAAAATACCTACTCTAAACTTTCAGTTCATAGCAATAGGGAATATGCGTGTGATTTAAATAAAGTTGAAATATTCTTTATAGTCTCTATCGCTTTGGAATTAAGCCTATATCAATATATTTTTTATGTAATATCTTATTGATTAAGAAAAAATTTATTAAAAAATACAATTACATATAGGTCGGAAATCGAAATAGTTGAAACGCACGCCATTGGTGAGACCGAATATACCGTCAAAGTATATAACAGCGATTAGCTATTTTCTTCGCTACAAATTAAAGTCGTAACTTTTCTATGTATGATACTTTGACGTCACGCCAAGCGCGCGAAATGGCGGATTTTAAAGTATCCGATATCTATACTATACGCATTTTTATATTAAATTTGATTTTTTGAAGCTAGATATTTTTTTTACAATTATATAACGCTGCTAGTAAAAGTATAAAAAATTAAGAAAAAGTCACGCATATATCTTATTTTACCTAAATGCAGATCTACTATCTATGTATATTGTAAAAACATGCCCTTAAAAAAATACCTATAAACGTCTATAATATATGCAAATATCTTTAACC